TGTGTTAATATTCTTATTGAATGCAACCTTTTAAGTGACTCTTAAGCCATAAATGCAAAACATATTCTACACTGAGTTAGTGCTGCAAAACAAGGCACTGTCAGATCGATTTGACTTTTACTCTACAGATGCTTTATCTCATCATTTCATGTCGTGAATAATATACTCCACAACTCCAATGCACTGCCATTTTTTGGCCTTTCCTTTCACTTCCTTTCATTTAACTCTGCACTCGGTTTTCATAATTCTATTAATATTTGTATTCAATTCTGGTTAAATGTTTCAAATATTTTTGATATAAAACATTTGGTATTAGTATGTTACATATTACTGACAATTATCCTTTGTGTTTTATTATGGTTATATGTTTTTAATACAATCCATTTATTATTATTATAAAGTTGTAAATATAATTTTTAATATTTTATTACAATAGTAATTGCAATTGAGATTAAACTTATTATATTTAAAATTTAACTTTTAAAAACAAAGATTTTCTCATTAGTTTGGTTTAATTCATTAGTTAAATTCAGTTCTGATTTGAGAAAATTGTGTTATTTTTCGAAAACCACATATAAATTATGGAAAGTATATATTTGTTAGTAATATGTAAGTGTTAGTAGAAACCCAATGCTTACCATCCATCACATATCGGTGTTCACTGCAATCAAATATATCATCTTTTTTGCGCCAATACATACCACTAATAGTGGCTCTCTCTCTCTCTCTCTCTCTCTTCTCATACTCTCTCTATTCCTCAGACTTTTATAATGAAAACACAGAACTTACTCTCTCTCTCTCTCTCTCTCTCTCTCTCTCTCTCCCTTTCATTGGAGGTTCCGTTCATCCATTGCAGTATTGCTAACATTTTTAGCATATCTATCGTTATATTTTCAAATATTGCTCAGACATAGACATAGTTGAGAGCAGTGTTGTGGTTATGATGCGAGCCCTCTGCCAGTCCTCCCTCTCCCCACAATCGGGGGTTTCTCTCATCGCAAGCATTTAAAGTTAAATATTAGGCCCGGAGTTGAGGGTTATTCGGTTCACTCGCATAAAGCTAGTGAGGACTATATGCACAGCTGCGAGCGCTGTAAGCGCCGGCACCCAACATATTTGAGCACAAAATATGTACTCCAAGTCTAATATTTTTGAGTTTAACACTGTATTACTGGAACTGTTAGGTCGACAGTGAGCTCAACAAAGGCACCAAAATATGGTCGATCGCACGGAACACAGTCTCTAAATTGTGGACTTTATTTATAAATAATTGAAGTATCGGTCGATTGCTGTCTGTGTGGCCCTCCGACTGAGATGTTATACAATTTTTTTTATATCTGACTTTATGTTCAAAAAGCTAAGCCAATCTACACTGGATTTGATTGAATACATGTTAGCATTAGTTGGTTGGTTAGCACACATACCATACCCTCTACTCTATTATACAATAAGTTCTGTGTTTTCATTATAAAAGTCTGAGGAATAGAGAGAGTATGAGAAGAGAAGTTGTTTTTATTCATCAGAGACTCCCATTCGTGATAATACTGTCGACTTTGTTGACGTTTAAACTGCTTTTGCGTGATATTAAGATAAAACACTGAACCTAACACTAACACTAAGACATGTTTTCTCATATTGTGGCCTAAATCACAGCTCATATCACATATCGTTTGCAATTATTATTATAATTCCAGTGGATGTCATTCATTTTGAACTTGATATTCAAATTAAATATTTTTGCAAAAATACTAGTTTTGTTGTAGACAATTAATAAAAACATAAGTTAGACAATATTCATATAAACATTACGTATGAATCTCATTCCAAATCATATCTGAAAAGTAAATCAATTCTACAACATATTCCCAAAAGTGATAAAATACAGAATTCAATGAATTTTCCATTTCTATTCAATTGAATGCTTTTTTGTTGTTTAGCTCATGTATTGAAAAACAGTTAGATTAATGGAAAGTACTTTTATTGGGAAAATCTATTCCATATAAGACTTAATCGGCTCTCTCTCTCTCTCTCTCTCTCGCAATCCCTCACTATACTCTCAATTGTATAACGAATTAATGTTAACGTTATTGAAGAGTACTTTCGGTCTTTACGCTAAAATGCGAGAATACAAGCAATAGTTTTGATGGGACGACCACTAATAAGATTAAAAGCCTCCGACAATACACTACTGTAGCCCTAACTTACAGTTAATGGCATAGTTTTGCACTCTTTTTACATTATAGACTGCACTTCTGTTATCCACTCATTCATTGGATTGCTTTTTGACAATTCTGTCCAATAATTAAATAGATAACTGCTTTACCATTTAGATTTGACTGCTTTAGATTATAGTTATTATGAAAGCTTATCAATAATTTGTTAATTGATCAGTACTTAAACAGCTACGATTGCCTTGTATTGAGTGAAAATGGATAGAATATAGTGAATATGAAAATATAAGACTTATTGATGTGTTGACTAATGTGTTGATAATTACAGACGCGTGCGGACTGTCAGATATGGCACATATCGAGAGCCTTCAGGAGAAGAGTCAGTGCGCTCTTGAAGAGTACTGTCGGACACAATATCCTAACCAACCGACAAGATTTGGTAAATTACTGCTGCGGTTGCCGTCGCTGAGGACAGTTAGCTCGCAAGTGATCGAGCAGTTGTTTTTTGTGCGATTGGTAGGGAAGACACCGATAGAGACGTTAATTAGGGATATGTTGCTGAGCGGAAGTTCATTTAATTGGCCGTATATGCCATTACAATGAGAATTACTGTATATTAAACCATTAGATAATATGCCGTAAATGAAGACAAGCTTCCAATTAAGCATTTTTTAAGACCAGTTTTATGTCAGTTTTGTGGTCCTATGTGTTGGTGAATGTAATCACAAAATCCGGTGCTATTATGTAATGAATTATACAATCATTTGTGTTATTGATATCAAACTGAACAGAGTCATAATAGAGAAAGTTTGAATGGATTAATGAATGGCTCAATGCATAACTCAATACATGAAATTAGGGGCAATAAATGATGATTAAAGCAATTGTGCCGTTAATTGTGGCAATAATTATATGAAATAAATATGTTTATTACAAAATTTATAACTAATTAATAACGCTATAATATAATACAGTATAATATACTATATATACAATAAATATAGGATTTTAGAAATACGAATCCATTCAATAACTCATTGAAAGACAATTCAACAAAAGAGAACTGAATTGAATTATAAATCAAATTATAATTTCTTTTCGTTAATCAAATGAAAAGAGTGGTCCAAATAAAAAGTCAATAAAACTTCAAACTATTCCTTTCGAAACAAATCATTGAATGTAATTTCATTTTTAGTTATCATTTGTACAAAATATTTAATTCATTATTCAATTGATTCAACAGAATGTCTCTCTATTCTCACTCTCACTCTCTTGTAAATTGTGATTATATTGTAATAATTAGATCATTAAATATAATGTTTTAATTGTAAATTTAATGCCATAACAAAAACAGATGCCATAAACAGATCTGATTCATATATCATGGCAGCAGACAATTACAAAATCCGATTCTATACCTAATTGTAATTATAATAATTGACTTCACAATAATTAATGAACACAAATTGTAAAGTATACGATAATAAAAAAAAGTTATTTTAAGCATTCGAGTGTTCACTTTATTTATAAATAAACCATTATTACAAATCATATTTTAATAACTTTAACTTAATAAAATTATGAATTTAAAATATTTAGTTAATATAATATTTGAACAAAGTGACTTATAATAGAAATATTAACATTACATATTTCTAATGGATTCTAACATTTTTTATAAACTTTCTTTTATAGCAAAAGTTCAAAAGAATTTGTTAAACATATTAAAAGGTTAAGAATTTTATTGAATAAAAACATCGTTTAAGTGGTATTTGTTATGAAAGGAAAGCTCCAGTAGTGTTGTACAGGTTATAACCCGGGGTGCAAAGGTTAGGCTTTATTTTAACATCATATCAGGAATCGGTGGTAAAGCCTTACTTTATGGATGTGTCACGACCGACAAACTGCGCCCAACCACGATCTCAATTAGCCCCCGGGACACACACTACAGGTGCACTCGAGTCGGTCACCACTCCATACACTACAAGCACTGTAAGCAATGCCACAGTACAACCACTTTTTCAAACATTTTTCGTTTAGCAGTTTCATTTTTTAAAAATTCATCGAAAATATCAATATTTTACAATCTTTTTGAATGTCAAATTAATATTTAATTAAAATTTTATCTCTATTTTTAATTATATAGAATTCATTTGATATATTCATAATATTTTTATATAAACCTCAAGAATTGAATGAAAGGAAACAAAGAAATAAGTAATTCATGATTGAAACTCAGACAAAGTGGTGGAAAATATGTAAAATGCATTGAAATCTGAGCGCAAATGTGTTGAATGAAACAAAAGGCAAATGTATTGAATGAGTGGATGTGTGGATGCGATGCAATGGGAAGATGGCATTAGGGCTACAAATATATTATATATACCATTAGAGAGTGGTTTTGTCGTTCACTTAATCGCAAAAGTGAATCAGTCGTCACTTCTCAATAAATCACATCCAGTTGTCTCTTGTTTTGTATTTGTGATCCCTTCCCCTTCGCTCATAGTCTTTATGTCACAGATAAAAGATATGCCAATTGAGTCATATTTTCTCTATTATTTGTCTGCTTTTCAAATGTCAAGCTTTCTTTCAATTCTTAATTTTTAGCCTAAAATATATTAATGATTAAAATATTCAATCAAATATAATAATAATCTTAAATATTCGTTATAATCAGATAACAGCAAATGATTTCTACTCAAGAATCGTATAAATTACAGAATTGTATGCATTTGCTATGAATTTGTCCTCAAATTGATAATACCATTAAAAATGAGTAAATGAGATGTCATTGAAAGCATTGTTTGGGTCGATGTGAGAGCAAACGGTATGAAAGAGTCGACTGAAGGAGAGATTGACATCCGGTTCGTGCGAAACCGGAAACGTAATGCTGTGCCGAGTATTTCCTAAATTGTATGGACGGCTAATTTGAAGAGCATTTCGTTTCATTGGTTTCTTCTTTTGGCACAAATATATCATAAGTTTGGGGTCAGAGTTGGCACACATTGGATGGCATTGGCTCGCAATGAAAGCACCGAAGAATAAGTGTTTGTCTGTCTATAAGCAGACATCATATGTGTTGGTGTGAAGTGTAAGTGTTGGCTAACCCGTCGCCCAAAGGTTACAGACCTCCAGTTTAATCTCATAGCGCAGGGACTCCTTTGGGCATAAAATTTATTTCTTTTTTGGTCACAAAAGCATTACACAGTATTGAATTGCCGGCTCCTATTGTGTCGGACCACTACTCAAATGCCTTCCCTTATAGTAATCGTTGTTATGCAGTCTATAGTCAAACACATGGTTGAGCCCATAGCCAGTGTATTGCATTACAAACTTTCCAAAAATGTTCACCGAATCAAAGAATGAGGCCTTCGATTGTGTACTGAAAGCCTGATTCAAGCGAATCCACAGAATGCCAACTCATCTCATATCATATCAATGATGGCCTACCCATCAGCTCAATGTTCACACAAATTCTATGAAACCCTTAATAATGGACACACCATAAGCCATAAGCCAAGGGCGCTATAAACACATCCCATACATCCCATTACAACCTTATATTACATCAACTCTTCCTTCTATTCAATACTCATATCAAATGGTTTTTTTTGTTAAATCACTTCAAATAATATACTTTTTTTAAGTTCTGCAGTAAATGTTGTACACAATTCAATAAATATTAATTTGTAGTGTAATTTTAAATGTTATTAAACACAAATGTAAAACTTTTATTAAATTAAAATCTTAAGGAACTAGTCTTACAGATATCATTAATAAAAGAATATTTTGTCTGTAGAATTACTGCATACCATAACTTAATTTTGAGAATCAACTAGAACCAGGACAAATAAAGTTTTGTATAAATTTATTTGTAAATATTTGTAAATTAATTTTGACAATATACTCAAATCACTTGAATTGGAATAGAAATTGAATGAAGTATTTAATAGAATAATGTGTGAAACCTGTACTGAAAATATTCATTAATGCAATGTTTGAGTTCTTGGTGTTTGATATTTATTTGAATAAAATATAACTCAGATTCTGTTCATAAGTTCATTATCTTATTATAATATAATATTTGATTTGTGGTAATGTATTGACACATCTTTCATGTCATGACATCTCTTCAACTTCTATTCAAAAGCAATGATTTTATCAAATATTATATTTGAAAGAATTGTAAAAAGCGTTCAGTCATTACAATAGTGCAATGTTTAGTGGTTTGTGTGTTAGGGCTGTGAAAGCACTGGTAGTGCAAACACGAAATTTCATTTCAATGCAATTGTATTATGAGATTCTGGAGAACATGTTATGACTTATAATATTTGAAGAGCAAAGAGAAGTGAAAAGTAACCCAATTATCAATTCATGGATCGACTAAACCCTCGCTCTATGAGAAGTCGTCAAGACTTGAGTGTCAGTCAAAGCGTCAGCAAAGAATGACTTTTTATTAACTCAAAGACCAGTTGTTTGCAAATCACATACACATAGAGTACATGCCTTGCGTTAGGTGTTGACCACTAAAGCCATTATAACCAGTGGTGTCTGTTAGTGCTATAAACTTGTTATATAATACACCCAATTCCCCCCTACGAAACCAAATACCCTGTGCTCTCAGTGCTCCCACAGGCATATCGTGTTACAAACCAAACGGACAATTGACAGTTAGGGCAGACGTGCCGGTGCTCTACAGCCACATACGAGACAACATTTGCCACATTTAGACATATTCTATAGTTATATAACTCAGTTATATTGCATTGTATTGTATTGTGTGTATCATCTCTAACACCACAACCGCCACAAACATCACTCTCCAGAGCAACAACTCTACCGCTCGAGTACTCGACTCTCAGTCTTAGACTTATATCAAACAAATATCGATCCCTTTATGTGGCGAACAAACTATTGAAGTAAACTTGTGTTCGTTGTAGTGGTTGTAGTACTTCGGGTGTTATTACTGGTCTTATAATGTGATTATTTGATCGATGATAAGTAGTTTTGCATTTCATGAAAATACATTCATTTATATCTTAACGTCAAATAAACAAATCATTCACTTTCTCCACAATTCCTAACAATTATTTCTCTAACTTTTTCTTATCAATTATAAGCCATTGAAAGTAAATATTCTTATTATTCATATTTATACTGTATATCGTTATTTTCACTGAATAAACATTAAAACAATGTTCTGTTATATAAATTCTTTATTTATTTACTAAATACAATTAATAAAATAAATTTATAAAAATGTAATGCAAACAACTGCAGTGGTATTCAATTCAATGAGTACTTGAGTTTCTATATTCTTATAAGAATCTAGAATTCAATTGAACCACATTTAGAAAATTAAGGTATTATTTAAGCTAACAAACTAGTTATCATGTTTAATTATATATTAATATTTATAAGTTATTCAATTATTTATGAAAATACTACAATTTTTTGTTAAATATTATTAATTTTAAAAAATTTTGTAATTAGTTTCTAAACAATTTAATGTTACAAACTATAATTTAGTACAAATTATACACTAATACAGTAATACCATTCTTAAAGATTAATTAAAGGCCTTATTAAATGTAGTTGTGCTGGATATTTCAATTATTTGTAATACATTTATTACACTTCCCCTATGAATATTCTGTGAATGGGGGCATTGAGGGGCAACAAATGAGTACAGTTGAAGTGTATGCGCGTAACAGTTTGTATGAATGGTATAACTGTGTGTTTGTTATGTTTGTGTTATTTGTTTGTCAAATGCATTCACAATGAGTTCAACCAAAAGGAAAGATCACTCGGAATGTGATTACAATAAAAGAGCCAAAACTTGGGGTAATACTGACCAGTGGTGTCATATGAGTGTCACTTCATTGCAATACTAATGCATTGTTTGTCATGTGTTGATGACTGCAGACAAACCCACGTTCACTGATGTCTCCCACGCTTACGACTATTTGCGGACATTATTCCCGATCCAGAAGTTCAACCAAAGGATACCAACCATCGTATGGAAGCATCAGTTGTACCCTCTCTTGAAAAACAAGACACTCATCGATCGACAACTGGTTACTCATTCACTGACTTTTGCATTGATTGCTTAATTCATTTGTTTTCTCTTCACCACAGAATAGTTGGTGTGAATCAGCTTATATAAGACTCTTCAGACTGGGATCCACTATCGACAACCACGAAGTGGTCATTGTCTTGATGTCGGACTTCCAGGAGTTTGCGGACAAGTGTTGTCGCAAAACTATAATTACCGGTATTTTCAATGGCATTCAATTTCTACACGAATTATGTTTTTGTGAAATCAATTCATTTTTATTTCTATGTATTTAAGAAAGATTTTTGAAGAAAGTTATCATTGAGAAGTCTTCGACACAAATATCTTGTGATGTATTGAAAAACGAGTACCAATTCAATGACGACAACATCAGTGAACTGATCCGATGCGGGCTTCTGGCGCGACATCGAAGTAGTGGTGTTTTGTTGATATCTCTGCCAAATGCGGGCGAATTCGTCAAAGCCTTTGATTTTGGCAAAAAGTTCTTGATTTCTATTATTAAGAAAAGTAAATATAAAGAGATCTTGAAATCGGAACTAATGAAGAGACGGGTTCCCAAAGATATGAAGTTTGACATCGAATACCATTTATACGATCTCATCGGTTCCGAAGTCATTCAAACGTAAAGCAATTTCATTCAATGAATTTATGTCACAAAACATTTAAATTTGACTTATTTTTCATTTAGTGTGGAAACACCAAACGATACTTTGCTCAGGATCACGTAAATACCCGTATTCTTAGAAATACGGTATTAATACGATTTTTGTACCTTTTACTATTATAACTATGTCATTGATTTATAAATAAAGAGTGTTAATTTAACAATTAATTTAAAGATATGTCATATGTTATTAATATATTTAAATAAAATATTTAAAAACAAAATGCAATGTAATTAGAGTGTTGATTAAATTTATTTGTCTAATAATTTCAATAGTTATAATACGGTATACCGTAAATATCAACACTAATGACTACCATTTACACTGACTTAGCATTTAATGGACAAGTTTTCAGTGTTTGGTTTCAATTTGAATGGACTCAAGAGATAACTATAATATCTATGTTTCTTCATTTGATATCAATTCTAAAGTTTTGTCAGATTGTGGTGTTGGGAGTGGAAGTCGTTTGGCAAATCCTCACCCAGAGAAGAGAGGGCTTACTCGGGAGTTTACTGAGACCTCAAGGACAAAAAGTGTCTTTGAGAATAAAAGTGTGTTTACCGTAAATTTACCTGCATTTGGGTTTACTAACGCGGGAATGTGCTATTAATTAGCAAACAATTAAATATAATTTATTATTTAATTAAATAGTTATTTGAGACTTACTTTTAACATATTTGGATACGAAAAGAATTTTTGGTTGCAATGCTGGCACTAAATCAATGAAACAAATGCCATATTAATTGAATGAATCAACAAATCATTTGAGAGACTCGTTGTATTACAGTATGTCGGGGCTCTCCGTTGTGGTGATCCAAATGCAACCGCAAGTTTGACCGACACCTGAAGGTGCGGTCGCAGAGGTTGCACGAGAAGGGCCTCAGCTCTGTGTGCACTATCTTGTGTTGGTTTAGTTGTGCGATCTATTCATTTCATATCAATCAACAAAATGTTAACAATTTATATCAATTAATACTCAAATACCTGTCGAAAAGTTTTGCCACACGTCTCGCAAACAAATGGTTTTTCGCCTAAAATTATTACAATCACTGATAAAAAGAGTTACTAAAGATTGGACGTCTCTGTCAGACCTGTATGTATGCGTTGATGTGCGGTGTAATGTGTTTTGCTGTGACATATCAGACCACAAGAACTACATTTAAGTCTTAAGTCAACGCTATTCTCTTCTCCCTTATGTAAGCGACGGTGTCTTTCAAGAGATGCCTTATGTTTGTAGACTTTTCCACAGAACTCGCATTGTCTGCAAGATATCAATAAATATGAATCACAAATAAAATATAACCATGAGAATGAAGACCTGGTTCTGTCTGTCGAGTGATACTTCTGATGAGCTCTGAGCTGATGAATGGTTACATATTTTTTGTCGCATTCATTGCACTCGTATTTCTTGTTCCCGTTGTCGTGGGCTTTGATGACATGTTGTTGTACTGAGAACTTAGAGGACATCCGAAGGCCACAAACAGGACATGTGAACGGATTATCGGTTAAATGTGTCTTCTTATGGTTGCGAAGAAGAGTTCGCCATCTAATCCGTGTTCAATGATTGAATAAAATTAAAATTCAATAAGTCTTATGTTAAGACAGAAGTGATTGTAACAAAAGTTTTATATTTCAAGAATTGATTGGTTCTGCGGAAGCAATACCTGTATGTCTTTCCACATACGATACACTTATACGGTCTCTCATTGTCGTGAATCTTCATGTGTTCCCTGAGATATGTTTTCTTGAATTGTTTGTCACAAACGGAACAATTGGCTCGAAGTAGACGACTGGCCGGTACTCTATGACCACTCTTATCAGTCTGACCATCGGTTCCAAGGTTTTCATTATTCTTACAAACTTTTGAGTTGCCATCGGATGGCAAAAAGGTCTCACTTTTAGAAGTCTTCTTCTTCTTCTGTTTGCTTTTTGTGGATCTAATGGTTTGGTTTGTGCTCTCATTGCTTATTACAGGCACTGAATCAATGGTCAATGCATTAGAAGAGTTTGTGGCACTTATTGGTTGCATAAGTGGTTGAAGCGATACTAAGTCTATGTTTTGATGATCTGTTGGCTGGACATCGATTTGCATAACTGTTTGCTGCAAATGATATGTCGAAGTTAGCAGTGTTAAGAATTAGTCATCTATTGGCCCATAATCCTCACTTGAGTTTAACCATAGTTAAACCAATAGTAATCCGCTCTGGACGTTAACTTACCATTATGAGCAGAGCGTTAGTCAAAGCGTTCCATTCTTCGGGTCCAACACTTGCAATGGATTAGCCATCGTTTGATCGTAACTTTGGTTCAAACTTTAAAAAAATTCAAAAACTTATTCATAGCGTAAGAGTGCATACAATTCATCCGCCATTTGTTCCGTACAACACATTCATTCACATTTGTATTGCACACAAACCCCTCCCATATGGGGGACAATCATCGCTCCCTCCCCTCACACTATGTTCTCACGGAATATAACAGAATCTGTCATCTTATGGCTAATTATCACCGATTGGAAGTGATGGGGTGTCTACATGTGAGTAATCTCTGCCGACATTATCTATCAACTCATGAAATGTTTAAATCTATGGTTAAAACAGTAAAGAGATCACCGAATCAATTGAATCTAATGCTGTATTTTACAGAATAATACATCTATAAATCCATTGCTTTAATTGTTTATAAAAATACAATATTCAAAAATATATATCAACGTTAAATACAAAATTTTAAATATAATTTAAAAAACATGACTATTGTGCGATCATATGAACACTTTTTTGGTATACTTTAAGTAGAAATGCATTTTAAGGATCATTTAATTGCTTTGGTTTCGATTCAATAACGAGTGGCAGTGAACAATATAGCTTTCAGACTATCATAACGATTAAAACCTCATTAAAGGGATTTTGGCAATATTTCCGAGATTCATATGAAAGCCGTTAATTACCTGAAAAACAGAACAATTGCTTCAAATGTTGTTTGAAATACAGTAATAATTTAATCAATAAAATCAACAAATATTTAAGTGATACACAAAAATAATTAATACAATGACAAGAATGATAGAAAGGCCACAAAATTAATTGTCTCATAGAAGTACTTAAAAGTGGAAATAATTGTTAAGTCAGAGGATAATCTCATTCATTTCTAAGCCGTTTGTTGGGCACATCATCGGCCGACAAATCATCTACTTTTCTGAATAGGGAGTGAAGATACTATAGCTGCGATAGCAGCAGATCTTACTATCTCAGTAGTAGGCTCAGTAGCTAGCAATGGAGAAGATGTAGATGGCGAGGAAAGACTGCTAGGTTCGGAAGGTAAACGGGCACACTTTGGCTGTCGTTGTCGTCGTCATCGTTGTCCTCAATAGTGATTTGAGTCACTTCTTCGTCATCTCTCAAGTCAACTTCAGTATGCATTTTGTCCGTCGGTTTCTGATTATCGTTTGTTTCGACATTCATTTCCTCCACATTTTCTCCATTACTATCATTCGGTTGATCCGATGGTTGATCGCCCTCTCGAGTGATGACCAACTTGTAGAAGAGGCCGTCGTTTTCATTTCTGTCGATCTCCACGTCTCTCAGTGTTATAATAACTGTCAGATTTTGGATCAAATCGTAGATTTTAAGGCGAGTTTTGTCGACAACATCTCTATGCAAGACTGAGAGATACTTCCGTTTAATGCGTTCTTTGTCTTCATCAGACTCTTCGTCGTAATCATCTTTACTCCAGAGGACAACAGACGTGCCATCGATCTGGACGTCCGGACAAACGAAATGCAATTTTTCGAAAATAATTTGTTCGACAAAATCAGATATAAATAGAGTTTCTTTAAAACTCAACGAAATCTCGATTTCAGGCACATTTGAAGAGCACACCAAACAGTTTGGGTTCGGCTTCTGGAGTTCATAAGCGCTGATCAGGTTCTTAGCGGACGGACCAACTTTGCGGAGATACAAGTGTCGACACGAGTCGTACAGCGCTTACAGCCGGAGAAGAAATCTGTAAAGACTGAAAACAAACAATTGTTATAAAGCGTTTTGTAACTCTCAAACGTTTTGTTAATTTGGCGGCTGATAACTCAACCAGCTGCTTTACCGCCCATAATATAACCCAGCCATTGATTTGACATCAAATCTCGACTTACGGCTGATATGAAAGCAAAACGACCGCAGATTCGAGACGGCGGTCACGAAATTCAAAGCCGAGTCGTCATCTTTATCCCAAACCAAGAACTCCTTCTCATTCTTCTCTTGCAATGCCTTCAAACGAGTCTTCAGCTCTTTAAGACTCTCATCGAAAACAGACAAACACTCAGTGATTGACCAAAGCTTTTGGTCTTTGAGATCGGGTTGACTATTATCTCCCGAACCATTCAATCCGGAACGGGAACTACTGCTGCCCTCAATGGCGTCAAACTCGATGTCATTGGCCACCACTCTGTCGTAATCGACGGGAATTGGCTTTTGTCTGCTTTCCCACAACTTTTCCATTTTCAGCAAATATTCGATATCTGTTTTAAACAACTTATCAAATACTCGTTTCGTGTTATAATCACAGCTTTGCACCCAATCTCTGGTCGATTGCTGTTTAGCCGCTGGAGTCGAGCCTTCAATACAAATATCAAATCAATAAATCATTGGAAGTAAGTAAGTGAGTTACTCAGGCTCAGAATGGTAAGAACGGTAACCACAGTAAGAATACTGACCACCGGTTGAGGCCCAGTAACCACAGTCCCGAGTGTAGCAACAGCCGCAGGTGAAGTGGCTTCAGTTGCGCGAAGAGATGTTTGGCCCAAACGATGCAATGGATGGGAAGGGACGGAGTGTTGCGTAATCATGTGCTCCGCATGCATGCCGACAGGACAAACCCAGGGAGCGTGAGTATCGTAACCCACTGCCGAAACAACTACTCCTTATGGACAGGGTATATCGGGAGTCTCGGGCTGAGATACTCGCCGTGATCTGCCGCCAGACACATGCGGTTCACGTGACTTCGGGCCGCTTTGTTGTCCAACGCATTGATCACAAGAGTAAAGCTCTTGTAGTAATCGACGCCAAACTCGGACGACATGATGGAGTTGTGGATGGCTTTCACTTTGACGGACGAGTTGTGGCCGAAGAGGTCGACCGCCACCGCAGACGCGATCTCTGCCTTACTTTTGCCCACATGTTGGCGGTTGAAGAGGAACTGGCGGTTCAGGTTCGACACGTCGATGGTGTCCAAGTCTATCATCTCTATGGTCTCGAAGCCCATTAGTAGCAGATCTTTGATCACTTCGGAACCGATACCACCGGCGCCCACCAGAAGCACACGACACCTCTTTATCTCATTCGCCAACTCTTTGTCGCCCAACGTATGGGTCAACAGCTGCGAGGAATCCATTGCACGATATGTGCGACCACTTGTGTCTTCACTTGTGGACCAACTTATGGTCAGATAATGTGTTGTCAATCGGTTTCTTACGTTAGTTAACCTGCGCTGAAAGCATATTTACCGCGAGTTTTACACGACTAAGAGCGTGATGTCCACACTTGCCGGGAGTGTAAGTGACTTCGGTAACTGTTTCAGAATACTTAGTCAAAAACACTGCTTTGCGGACAACTTATCAATGATTTGAACAAATAATACATTATTATTACAATATATTGCATTCATATGGGATTAGGGATTAATACAACTGATAGTGAAACTTAATAATCGTGAAATAAACATAATATTGAATAATGAAGTAAATTATTAGAGTCTTAGGTCAAATAACCTCCAATCCAATTGATTACATCGGCCGTAGTAATTAGTATGTCAAATATGAATTCATTATGAAATTTCCAAAAAAATTAGCTTAATTTATGTCATTTATACTAATATGAATCTAACTAACGTGCTCCCGGTCCATATAGTTGCTAAATTATATTTTAACAACCTTAATAATTAATTTGTGCTTGAACACCGGTTAGAAAAGAGTATCATTTGAATTCAATTAAGTTAACTTGATTTGCTTAAATGAGTACTGAACCTTAATAAGCAAGCAATAAAATGTATTGCTAGCACTGGTATACAGGGAAATGTGATTTAATATGAAATTGAAATCAATTCTAATAACAATCAAAAAACTATTGAATTCCCTTCACTTGTCAATCAGTGGTGGCATTAATCCGGTGCTCACCTCTAACTGTATGTTTAGCTCAAATGAATGTGTCTTTTGTGGTCATATATTGTTCATGAATGTGAATGCAATTGAATTTAAATATTAAAATGTGCGGAAACCTGGTGTTAATGTCTGTTAGTCATTCATTACTTAATCAGAATACTATCTCACACGTCACTTACGTCAGTACCCTAGTGACATACCTAGGTAACCACTGTATTAACTACCAAGAATGCAACGAAGAGTCCATTATTTGTGTCACGTTTTGAAATATATGGACACAAAACACAACCACATTATCACCGATTGCTGCCTCCGGTGACCACTCTTTCACTCATTTCTTTTGTATTCAGATTGAGTCCACATTTGTGTCAAACCCTGCAATCGATTCAACACTTGTGGCCAACAGTTGACTATTGAAACAATTATTGTGACTCAGAGTTGAAGTGATTACTTATCAAAGACTAGACCAGAGACCAGTTGGTGGTGACGTTGAGGACATCCCTGACCGGCAATATGTCTGACGCGGACGACGACATCATGTTTGATGCGGACGACGAGGACTACGATCTGGTAATGACTGTCAAACTTTATGAATGGTGTGCTTATTGTGTGATGTCTTCAGGAGTACTCTGAGGACAGCAATTCCGAGCCGGACGTAGACCTCGAGAACCAGTACTACAACTCTAAGGCACTCAAAGAGGACGACCCGAAGGGCGCGCTGCAGAGCTTTCAACGGGTGTTGGACTTGGAGTCGGGCGAGAAGGGGGAGTGGGGTTTCAAAGCACTCAAACAGATGATTAAAATTAACTTTAAACTGGTAATCCGTTTTTCGTCCATTGCTTGTGTCTCATGTGTGTATCAACCGATGGTTTTGTGTATTTTTAGAGCAATTACTCAGAAATGATGGGCAGATATAAGCAACTGTTGACTTATATCAAGAACGCCGTCACCAGAAACTACTCGGAGAAGTCCATCAATTCAATACTCGACTACATCTCCACTTCCAAACAGGTATTGCCTATCATTTCACTCGTAATCGTCTATAGCATATAATTAATGGTGCGATTGTGTGGATCAGATGGAACTGTTGCAAGAGTTTTACGAAACAACTTTGGATGCACTGAAAGACGCAAAGAACGACAGACTTTGGTTTAAGACAAACACAAAGTTAGGGAAACTGTATTACGACAGAAGCGAATTCAATAAGTTGTCGCGAATTCTGAAGCAATTGCATCAGTCATGTCAGACAGACGAGGGCACCGATGACCTCAAGAAAGGCACTCAACTCCTCGAGATCTATGCCCTCGAGATACAGATGTATACACAACAGAAGAATAACAAAAAGCTTAAGGTTTTACTCTTGACTACAAACGGACATTATTTGACTTATTTTCTGACACATTGTGTTGTCTGTCAATAGAAACTATACGAACAGTCTCTTCATATAAAGTCTGCAATTCCTCATCCGTTGATTATGGGAGTCATTAGAGGTATGATTAGTGGTGTCCTATGCTTGCAAACGTGTATCTAATTGTGTATTTGAATGGTTAGAATGTGGGGGGAAAATGCACTTAAGGGAAGGGGAGTACGAGAAGGCACACACGGACTTCTTCGAGGCCTTCAAGAACTACGACGAGTCCGGGAGTCCGCGTCGGACCACTTGTCTCAAGTACTTGGTTTTGGCCAATATGTTGATGAAGTCGGGCATCAATCCATTCGACTCACAAGAGGCCAAACCTTATAAAAACGATTCTGAGATCCTGGCGATGACTAACCTGGTCAGTGCCTATCAGAACAATGATATCAACGAATTCGAGAAGATTCTCAGGACTAATAGGAAGACCATAATGGATGACCCCTTCATTAAGGAACACATCGAAGGTATGCCATCCGCGCTATCTTTGTCTCAAATGTTTCGTTAATTTTGACTCTTTTCTAAAATGAAGATCTTTTGCGGAATATTCGGACACAAGTTCTCATTAAACTAATCAAACCCTACACTAGAATTCAAATCCCATTTATTTCGAAGGTATGTCGCAAACCATTTGTGTAACAATTTACTGTAAATGATCTTGTAGTGTTTTGTTTGAAACTTATTTGTGTTTCGTTTCTACAGTATATTAATAAATGTATACCCATTTATTGCAAATTTACTGTAAGCTATACACCAGTAAGTGTATAATGTATCAATTTTATCGCATTTTAAAAACTTATCACTTATAAAGTTATCCAAGGATTTACACTTTTTATGGGTACTCTGTAGTTACTGTAATGGGGCTCCCCTTCCCAATCAAACAAACCCATAATATGCGGATCATTCAATTTGACATTTCTTATAAAATAGATTTTTATATAAATAGTGTATAATTTATAATCCAATAGGAATTAAATATAGACGTTTGTGAAGTGGAAAACCTTTTGGTTTCGTGTATTCTCGATAAGTGAGTATTTAATTAAATTGACAAACATTTGTGAATAAATAAAATAATTTTATTTGAAATATAACTAAATAATAATATAAAACAAAACATTGAATTACAGTACAATTGAGGGCCGTATAGATCAGGTAAACCAAGTGCTGGAACTGAATAGAAGTACGAATAGCGCCGCCCGTTATAACGCTTTAGACAAATGGACGACTCAGTTGTCTTCACTTCACTCAACAATTGTTAATAAAATGGCGTAAATTATTAATTTATTTGGTTTAATACAAACGATTCAATAAAATTGAAATTAAATTCTTAATAACTTTTGTAATGACATTATAGTGTGAAAAGGAATATTTAATAAAATTTCATTAATTTTAACGCTTTTTAAATACTATTCCGTAAACAATATCTCTTCCTATCGTCTCTCATAAACACTTTCAACGAAAAGATTGTTTTCTCGATATTTATACCAAAAATTGGTTACTTTTAGGACAAATGATTGACAGACAAAAATAGTGAGCTTTAAAACCGTTCAGAAAATACCGATCCATACAATCATCAGATTCTTTGTTATAAAAGAGCTCTTTTTAAATACGTTTAAAAAACATTTTTAGATTTCAATTGGATTTAAGTTTGTTTATAAGACTAGAGTCATCACATGATATAAGCACTCATTTAAACGCTCGTGTGTTTGAAATTGCATTGAATGACATATTTGGAGCATTTCTTACAAATTATTTTTATAATTGCTTTGTTTTTAAATATCAAATTCAAAAGAAACGAATGGTTTGGAAATAATGATTGCTAAGATTAACGACATGGATTAGACTGACAAACGATTATCGCAAACACATAAGCGCTTAAATAAATGCTCGAAACATCTCTTAAAATCAATAAATAATATAAGAATCAAACAATTATTGGCACAAAAAAACATAACAAATACCAGAGAATGTCAGCTATGATTGAAGTAATTGAACAATCGGTGGCAAAATGACAGACAATAACTCTTATGTAAAGCTATGGAAAATCAACAAATCAATTATGATTTATAATTTATGAAAAATATACTCATTTAAAATAAATAAAAGTAATAAAAAGTAAATAGAATTCATATATAAATACGGTATAAAACAAGACAATAAAAAGACTGTGTGTTTGAAAATGAAAGCATAAGACCTATTGTCTGCCACAATATGATTGTAATAACAACTTATAGTTCGTCTTCACTCAGACGACTCGCTTCGATATCAATAGCTTTGGGAACAAATCCATCGTTGGGTATAATGGGGTCCGACTGCCAGTAATAGAAAGGAGGGCCGGGACTGAAGCAGTATTTCTTTTCGAGAATGCGGTCGCCGTCCACGTAATACATCATATAAAAGTTGCACATCTCGTCGTCACCGGTAGAGCCTATGCGCACGATATGGTCCAAGAAGTTATCCATTGTGCACCGGGCGGCCATCACGTCGTTCTCGCGAATCACAAACTCCTTGTCTTTCACCGGATAAAACATCTGACAGACCATCCATACATTGGTTACTATTTTCGTTAAAAACTCAAATAAATTTAAGTAAAACCTGTGGTTTCAGTGGATTATGTCGTCCAACGAGAGTCCATCGACCGTCGGGTGTGATTCGAAAGCCAGAGACAACTTTCCCCAGTTTATGGGTATGCGTACGGAATGCAAAGGGATGCAACTCTAAGGGCTCGTCTATCATACACGCCGTCTCCATATGTTCTGTCATTCATTATTAACTCATAAATACATAGTTCTCTAATAAATAACATTATTTCTAATTACCAATAGATTTATTTGGAACCATTCCTCCGGTGCCTAATAGCAAAACTCCGGCCCTTTTATTGACTCTATTGAGAGAATGTAATGTAATTCATATCACATAACCATATGATTTAAATAACACTTACTTTTGTGTATTTTGGGGTAAAAGCTTCAAAATAATCCCAGAATTATCGAAAGCTCCGTCTGAAAGGATATAAACAGGAATTAAGTTGTGATTTATAAGTGAAATAAAGTGGTAGTGAAGGCATACTCAAGAACTTGTCGACATTGGCGTAATGGACCTGAAGGACCAAATAGTTAACACCCGTATCGCCACCGACTTTAAAGCCTACGCCTATAATACAATTCACATTATTATTAGCCTTGATTTCATCGACAAACAGATCACTGATTTTGAAAGAAATATTAGATATAAAGCGAACGCAGTATTAGTTACCTTCTGGGAGTACAAGTGCCGGTGCGTCCATAGCCCAGGCGTAGATAATTTCGGAACCAGAAGCACAAGTGGGAGCCCTTACATACTCAGTCTTAGAGTTAGCCATTTCGCCGCAGTCCCACACAATCCTAGGCGTATCCCTTTCATGATATCCGGGCACTAACGTGGGCATCTAGTCCTATACTACACGTCATAAGTATCACCGCAAGCCGAATTTGAGGTGATTTGTATGTTTTCAGCATAATAATGAGTAAAATTACTGTAACCCTACTCTCCCTACCCTACGTTCAACTTTCCTACAAAATTACTATTAAGTTGTAAAGCATACAACTAGTATAACAAGTCTATAACTCTAAGTCTAAGTCTATTCTTCACTTTGTCGGCGTATTATATTTATGCATTCAAATCAAGATTAATTATTAAATCATATCAAGTCTATTAAATTATTTCACCATTTATTATAACATTTCATTAATGCTATACTGTACAGAACAGCCTATTTTATTAAATTATATTACGGTATGAAATTTATACGAAATTGAATTGAATTGATTTCATTATTTTTGTAAATTAATTTTCTTAAATTTATAGCAAAACTATTGATTATTTAGATATTATTAGTTCCGTTAAGCTGTAATTAAAATGGTAATTAATTATATTTAAAGGCAAATGTTTTGTTAAATTTTTTTTAAACAAATCTAACTTAATTGTTCAAATACCAAACAGAATTTTATATTGAATAGAAAATATTGCATAAAATATGTTCAATTAAATGTGTTCTCATTACAATTGATTGCATACCTATATATCGATGGTCTCGGGAATGCATTTTGAATGCGGTGCACAGATATGTCTCTTTCTGTAACATAATATTTAACAATTATATTAAAATTTGTAATTATATTTAAATATAATATTGTTAATTTTAATTTAATAGTTTTGTGAAAATAACCGGTAAATAGACTCAATTCCGGTAATCCTTATGAAATTTTTAAAATTGATTTTAAATGACTTTTTAATGTTAGTAAACTGGTAACAAGTTTTGTTACAGACTTATGTAATCTTATACTTATGTTTAAGACAATAGAAAAAATAGAAAATAGATACTTTTATAATTATAATTCAAATTTGTACTTAAATTTATTTTTAGAAAAATATAAATATGACTTTTCAATTTACAAAACTAACAACACATCCATTAAAGCAAATCGACGGCACTTTTAGTGACTGTTAGAGCATTGAAATTAAAACAGGATTTGAAAACTACAACAAACCATGAAATTACTGCTGTAGTCGAGTATACAATTTGCTTGAATGACTGAAATCTGCGTTTGTAAATTAGTTAAAAGAGTCATTTATATTTGTGACTGAGTGCTTTTCCAGCAGCGGTCGTTAACTTTAAAATTTAAATGGTCAAAAAGTAATTATTGAAAAGTGAATATGCGTAATATTCTCTATTATTGCAATACTTAATTGAGTTGTAATTATACAGTATCATTTATTGCTGTTTATTAAATGGTTATATTAGTCTTAGGAACTCACATCCAAGTTAATTGTAATTTTAATATCAATTTTCATACTTTACATAAACTAACAAATGAATCATTACCGTAAATAGATATATCTATACTAATTCATTAAGATACTGTAACTACCATGTCTAGATTTGTGGCAATGTGAATGATATAAGTGAATGATACGGGTCAGTTACCATATGAGATCTAAATTCTAGACTATTTCATCTGTAAACTTTATGTTCCTAGACTGCCCAGTGAACTATGTTTGACCTTGTTTATTAATATACAAATTGTGCTGATATTGTGTGTTTTATTCACAAATTGTGATTCAATTTACAATCAATATAAATGTCATTTAAGTACTCATTATACATGTAATGATTCACTGATTAAATTGATTAAATAAATTGATAATAAGTTTATAGTAAACGTCAAAACAATATATTAATGAATGAATGGTTAGAGAAGACAATTAGTGATAGATTGCCATCAATTAAGACCAAATCAAACATTGGCTATACTTTACAAAAACAAATTGCTTTTAAAATATAGAGAGAAAAGTGTAACAAAAATATGAGATAAGAGTGGCTTTAATTGGACCACAAATAAGACTATCATTTAAATAAGGCTTTCGTTTGAATTGAAAACACGTTTCTCAGGAAAAAGAAAAGAGAGATGTCATGAGTTTTCACCATTTTCAAACATCTTTAGTAATAGAGTACTCTGTAGCCCGGTACAGAATGTAAGTTAATCTGTGAGCATACTGTATACCTTTCCATACACTCTACATACCCTTTCCCTACTGTCTGGACTGTTGGCTGAACATCAGGCATAAGCAGTGGAAAGACAATGGACTCGTCATCTGATGGCAGATCTATTGCCACACAATATGTCAACCATTGCAGGGAACAGATGATGACAACGACCAACAAATTGCTGTTCAAACACATCGTCCACTCAATTGTGCACTAAATCTAAACGATCACTAAATTGAGTACAAAAACAATCAATGGATAGACGTATGAATTGATGGCATTTCTTGTGTCTCAATGTCTTAACACTTCACAAATGTATTGATTTTTATAGCATTTCGTTGCAAACCATTCAATGGCTTAGTATTCATACGTATCCATAGAAACCAATGAATGCCTTTGACGTCAACCCGTGTTTGAGTTCACTATTAATGACAGACACTTGCAGTCCATTCACTCCAACACCACATCCCATCACCACTTCATCCCCACATCACTCAACCCATCCATCACTCAATCACTTCTCCGTCCACTCGTCACTCCATTCAAGACATCTCTCATGCATTCAATTCATTCAGTTTTAGATCGGTTTTAATGGATGTCATGATATGGAGGACTCACTGTACGGGCATTTAATTCACACAAAATGCAAACAATTGTAATGTAATTGTGAATGAATTGAACGGTTGAGAAGTTACGGATAAACTGTGAAAACAATATCTCAAGTGTTGTGTAAACCTTAAAACTAAACTGTGAAATTATATATTGTTGAAAAAAGTAATGTTAATTAATTTCAAACTGTTGAAAACGTATTGAATATCGGAAAGCGTATGTAATAGACAGTGAAGGAAACGAAATTGATATCAATTTGTAAGAGTCATTAATTTTCTATCATTTGCTGAATAAATGCATCTAGTAAATCTACTAGCTGGGAGCATTATGTAAACTTTCAATAGTGTTTTATTTGCAAAACAAAGTGATGAGATACTGTAATACTGTAAAAATGTTGCAAAACTGGGTGGAGTGCATATAACCGGGAGTTGAATGTATTGCGTTGACTGAATTGGTTAATACAATAGTGACTACAATGGACTCATTTGGTGAATGCCTGACTGTTGGTGTGTTAGTGCGCCAATAGGTGTCTCTGCCTTGTGTTTGCAGTGCAATAATGACTGCCAGTGTGTGACTGACTGTAAGCTTCAATGAAGTTCTCATTGAATTGTTGTGTAGAGAGAGTGATGGTATCCCTCCTCCCGACACATCTCTGTCCACAATCACTGCACTGTAGTGTCTGTGAGACCATATGATGGACGCCAACAAACACTCCATTCACAAACTATTCCTCTTCAGTCCCATCGATGCCAAGGATGACATCGAGGAGGTCTGAAACTAACCATATTTTGATCATTCATTACATAAGCCATTGATATAATGCTAAACAAAGGCATCCATTAGTGCATTGATTGCTGTCAACAGATGGCACTCAACACTCTTAACTCACTTTAACTTTCATTTAATTGTCATTTAATTGTCAATCTATTGATTCACTAATCGTTTCCGAATTTTCACACTTTTGTTGACCAGAAATACGAGAGATGTTTACTCTTTGTCCAAAACCTCATTAATGGTAAATCAGAAAAAGAAGGTCACGAAGAGCTCACTTCCACTGTAAGCCCATTCATTGCATTGACACTTGAGTTTGACGCAAATTCAATGATCCGTTCATTTAAAGGCAATAAAGAGTACCACAAGTCATGAAGACGTGTGCATCGGACTCGTGGTCACAATACTTACGGATTCTTCCAGTGCTCAGAGGGTAAGCACTGCGAGCCAATTGTCTTAAGTTTTCATAAGTAAACAACTATTGGTTTGTCTTGTATTCAGCACTACAGAGATCTAACTTATGTGACCAGAGATGGTATGACATATGTGTTGAATGTGTTGAACCAAATCGCTTGTGACAAGTATCACAAACTTCACGACTCATCTAGAAATCAAGTGAGCCGTCGATGAACTCACGATCTAATGGTTTTCATCATTGAATTGTATTTTATATTTGCAGTTAATATGGATTCTAAAAGAAATGATCAAAACTTCTGTTACTGGAACCGATGGGCTGGTCATGAATCTGTTGCGACAGATAATTGGCGGCGATATATCACCGAAGAATGTATGGCTAATTGAGACACTCCTGGATATACTGGTAGAGAGTAGGCAATGGTTGGAACAGATATCCTTTTTGGTGGCTTCGGTGGTCTACACATATCTGCGGCTAATCGGCGACCACTCGAACCCTCTGTTAGTGAAACTCAAACAAAAAGAAGTGGACTTTTGTTCATCACTTCTTAGGGAGAGATTCGCCGATTGTATTCCAATCGGAAGAGATTTAGTAAGACTTCTGCAAAATGTGGCCCGAATTCCAGAGTTCGAGAAGATTTGGAGGGATTTGTTCTCTAATCCGACGGTTTTTGCACCGAATTTTGGCGGAATTCATCAGTTGATGAAAATCAGAACTTCGCGAAGATTTTTTCAGTCGAGATTAACCCCGGATATGGAGCGCAAGATTGTCTTCCTCACGTCTCAGGTGAAGTTCGGCCAACAAAAGCGATATCAGGATTGGTTTCAACGGCAATACCTGTCGACCCCCGAGAGCCAAACGCTGAGGTGTGATGTGATTCGCTTCATCTGTGGAGTCATTCACCCGTCAAATGAGTTGCTCTGTTCTGATATCATTCCGCGTTGGGCTGTCATCGGGTGGCTGTTGACCACCTGTACGTCGAGCGTCGCCGCCTCTAACGCCAAGCTCTCCCTCTTCTACGACTGGCTGTTCTTCGACGCCGAACGCGACAACATAATGAACATCGAACCCGCCATTCTTGTCATGTATCACTCCATTAGGTCACACCCCGCCATCACCGCCACTCTCCTCGACTTTCTTTGTAGAGTAAGCTATTGATTGACGTCTTTTCAATCGTTTATCACTTCTTATGGTTTTATTTTTTTTACCACAGATTTCCCAACATTTCTGTCCATCACTCGCATCACTAGTCAAAGCAGGCGTTAAAACATCTCTTCAGCAAATACTAGAGAAACGAGTTCTTCAGTAAGTGTTTTAAATATTTATATTATGATTCATAACGATATGTAAATAACAAACACAAAAAATCCAGTAACAGTGGTGAAAAACTATCGTTATTTAATCTGGCTCTCGAGTCCCGATACCAATCCCTCTGAAAGGGACTTAAGACGTGATGACTACCTTGAGCAGTCGATGTGAACCACACGAGAGACCAGTACTCGATTATCGGTGAAGACGGCGGTTGTCTTAACCACAACTCGAATGCAAACGAATCGAAATTCAGTGACGACGAGGAAGAGCCGGTGCCTAAGAAACCAAAGCGAACCAAAAAGGAGAGAGAAGTGAAAGTGGAGATAAACGAGACGAAGAACGGCGATAAAGTGATGCCTCCGAAAGCGAAAGAAAACAATGCGTTGAGTCTGGAGTCGAGCGCTCTCTCCAAAAGTGATTTAATGACTCAAATCGAACAAATGAATGGCGAAGACATGAGATCCTGTCTCATAAGACTCTATGAAGACAAGTATGTCTTGTGTCCAACTCTCAGTGTTTGGTGTATTAATTGATCTATTTTTTTGTGTCGACAGAGACAATGAGAGCAGGTGTGAAGCAATGGAACAATTGGTTCAGTTTGTGATGCAAGACGAGGACAACGATCAGGACATGGCCTCAAACTTAACGATAATATTGTTATGCATTTTAGAAGACGATCTCTCGAAGAAAGTGTTTCCCAGTAATAATTGCTATACATTTATTGTTTGTGTTTTTTAGGTCATTGTCACCACTTTTTGATAGCAATAAATTAGACCGAGAGCTCAGGGCTATGGTTAGGGAGACTTTCCCTGAATTCTGCACTACTGATGGAACGGCAGTCGATGTGAACCACACAAGAGACCAGTACTCGATTATCGGTGAAGACGGTGGTTGTCTTAACCACAACTCGAATGCAAACGAATCGAAATTCAGTGACGACGAGGAAGAGCCGGCGCCTAAGAAACCAAAGCGAACCAAAAAGGAGAGAGAAGTGAAAGTGGAGATAAATGAGACGAAGAACGGCGATAAAGTGATGCCTACGAAACCGAAAGAAAACAATGCTTTGAGTCTGGAGTCGAGCGCTCTCTCCAAAAGTGATTTAATGACTCAAATCGAACAAATGAATGGCGAAGACATGAGATCGTGTCTCATAAGACTCTATGAAGACAAGTATGTCTTGTGTCCAACTCTCAGTGTTTGATGTATTAATTGATCTATTTTTGTGTACGACAGAGACAATGAGAGCAGGTGTGAAGCGATGGAACAATTGGTTCAGTTTGTGATGCAAGACGAGGACAACGATCAGGACATGGCCTCAAACTTAACGATAATATTGTTATGCATTTTAGAAGACGATCTCTCGAAGAAAGTGTTTCCCAGTAATAGCTATTGTGTGGACGAGGAGGAGTTGGAGGACTCTATCGGCACTCCTCTGTTCGTAATGTTTAGGAATTTGTGTCAAACGGCAGAAGAAGATCCAAATCGGATCCCATTATTGAATCTCTTGGCAGAAATGGGAGCAAACAATTCACGCATCGGTTATTCAATGATATACTACTTGAAGGCCAGCAAATCACTGGACAATCGAATGTCTTCTTATCGCGAATATGTCAGAGCTTTAGGCAAAGACCTAACGGGTTGTCTCTTAAGTGATCTCAAGTCGTGCCAAAGCGATGACGTGAATATGTTCTGTTATCTCATCCCTGATATTTACACCCAATTCTCTAATATAGCGATTGGAAATTCAGACCTTTTGAATCTAATCGTCTCTTGTATTGATTCCTCACAATTGCAAGACTTAATCAGTCATGTGATGAACGGAACTCTTAAAATGTTTAGAAAAGATTCGCTTTTGTCTCTATTGAGTATGTCTTCAGTGCATTCACTTCTTGGCAATTGACAACTCATTTGTTGATCTCTATTACAGATGCAAGTCTTGAGTGGGAAACTATAGAACAGTATTACTTATGGCAACTGTTGACCGCACACGACATACCTATTGAGCAAATTATACCAATTTTGCCAAAATTAGAATATAATTGTAAGTAAAATATTTATTTCTTTTATATGACTATCTTAAAATTATGGATTAAATATCTAAATGGTATTCCCTGTGCAGCTCATGCCGAAGCCTTAACTAATATAATGCTGTATTTACAACGAGAATCTCCGACCTCTAACTTAATTAAACACATAATGAGTCGCGAATCCAAAAGCAACGACTGTTTTGTTGTATCGGTTCTGAACTATTGGTCGCAGAATTATTCGGACAAACTCTCGGAACTGATCTCTTCATACCTGACCACTAAAGTCAGTTCACCAACAAAACGAACCAAAAGGTATGAATCATTTCTTTATAAAATGGGCTTAATATTGAATTAAATATAATAAATTGATGTCATTGTTAGGAACGCTAACAACAACAAAGTTCAGATCAGTTCCAATGTAGAGCTAATTTTGGCACATTTGGATCAATTGCGACAAAGGAATAAAAACCTCAATTGTAAGCCATTTATTCCATAGTTGAGTTCAAATGTCTAAAAATTAATGTATTTTATTATTTAGTCTTTAACAGCGAGACAATGCAAACAACTTTAGTTCAATTGCAGTCCATAGCATCGGATACTCAGAAAACAAAGTATGCCTTAACTTAATGACACTTTAGTTGATTGTATGTTCACTGGTTATGATTTGTGTGACCCATAGATACAGTGATTTACTGGCGTTGGCCGAAGAGTTAGACCCAAAGCCTACACCAAAACGCGGCGCAAAGAATTCAAAAGCGAAGACTAAGTTCTCGAGTGTTTCCAACGCTAACAACGACTCGAACACAGACAGCGATTCTTCTGAAGTAAGTCTTAATGAAACGTTTGAATTGATTTTTATTTAAAAATGCATTAAAACTTTTTAGGAGGAAATACCTTTAGTTAAACAACAAAAAACAGCAAATTCTCGCAAAAAACGGAAACAAATTGGTTCTGATAGTGATTAGAGATTTTTAAAAATGTTTAAATTATATAATAAAATGTGTATTTCATTGTTTTATAAACCATTGTTTAATTGTATATATCATTAGTTACTTAAAAGACATTTTAATTATTAAGAACATCCGCGTTTGAAATGATTTAATATTTTGTATGACTTTTATAATTAAGTAATCAATTAAAATGATTGATATTTTTGTTTGAGACGCTAATCAATACTTAACGGCCGGCAGAAAGAACTTATGGCCACTCAGTTCGCCCTTAAATGTGAATTCAGACTTATTAGAGCCTAAGTCGATGGCTGGACAGTAGAGTCGGTCTCCAAACTGTTGCTGATAAGTGGTTTCGTTGCTCTTCTCTCCGTACGGCTCATTGAACTCGGCTTCAGTTGATGTGCGAAACAAATTGCCTTTTCGGCCGTTTTTGCGGCTCCTCTTTCCAGCCGTCCTCTCCCTTTGAACCGCTTTTGGCGGACCCTCTCTTCCTCTTACCGGAGACTTGTCTGCGAACGAAGTCCTGGTTGTCGTCATGAAGTCCATATCGCCGTCGAAGAGTCGCATTGAGCTCTCATTCTTGTGTTTCTTCGGTCTTTGCTGTGACTCAACGTAATGTTTGCTTTCGTATCGAACTCGAGTCGATTCTTCAGCCAAAAGAGTCTCAGATTCTGTTACTTTATTCTGTGATTCTTTTGCTGATTTCGTCGGTTTCTCTGTCTCTTCAACTCTTTGCACCGGTATTTCATGCGTTATCTGAATTGTTTGAGTCCTCTCTCGATTCCGTTCCTCTAAAATCCCCAAATTCTTAATATTATCGACATCTCTGGTCATCAATTGTTTTGGTTCTTCAAGTGTTCCTATAGTCCAACTGTTGATAGCTTCCTGGGACTCAACTGTAGTTCTCTGTATTATGTCTTCACTTTTCTGTTGATTATCCGCTAAATTCTTGTCAACACCTTTCGATTCAATTGTTTTGTTTTTAGTACCATTAATATTATTCTTTGAAACATTATTATTGTTTGTTTGAACAGAACTATCGACTAATTGAAAACCATTACTATGGTGTGGTTGGGAAGTAGTTTTCGTTTCAAAATATTCTTCAGTGGTTAGCTTTTGCATAGATTTGTCGATTTGGTCCATTTGTGTGGACTTCTCCTCCCGAGTCATCCGTTTATTGTATGTCTTTTCCTCGACTTTCGGGAGCTTAACGTTAGCGGCTGTCGCACAGCAAACACTCGACTTTTTCCCATTAGTACTGCTCTTTGCTTTAGCTTTCGTGTTATCATCAATAATAACAAAGTTTTTATAGCTCTCCTTATTAATTGTATTGAAATATCCGTCTCCGCCCGCTTTCAGACTAGTGCTCGGCCTGTGTTTCACCTTCTTTTTGCTCGACTTTACTGCATTCAATCCATTAATCTTTGTTTGTTTTAATCGCTCAAAATTGCTTTCATCAGACGAGGCCCTCGCAGTAGTCGACGGCATAACCACCGCTACGTTTCGTGAGAGGCTATCGTTTATCTGTTGGGCAGTCGTGTCATAAGTGTTCTTAAAAGTAGTTTGCATTTCCATCGGCCCCTCCAGACGTAAATTGTCTGACGGCTTATTACGTACGGGTCGTGAAACTACCCATTGATTGGATTCCACTAAGTTATCCAACACTTGCGGATCACTCATTGATTTATACATTTCCTCACAAATACAAGAATACGACAATTCTTTGAGTTCTTTACCGGAATCGCTGTCACTAAAGGTGTTAATCGGCGGAAGTGTTGTCCTAACCGTCTGTTTTTCAACTAATTTATCTTTTGAAGCCTTCGTCGACCGTTTACTTCGAGCCAATTCTGAGTCTCTCTTATCTAAATGCGTGCCATTTATTTGAGATAAAGAGCGAGATGTTTCTTTCATCTGATCCGGTGATGTCTCCCATTGTTTTCTGCACTTATGTTCTGACAACTCTTTCTCGTCATCCGTTGTCTTCTCGCTCTTCAACTTGTCTTCCCGTTTGCTCTTCTCTTCAGATCTTTCGAGACAATGATAATGTTTTAGTGATGATTCGCATCGATGTTCCCTATATTACACAATATTTTATTATGTTTTATAAGTTATTGCACATAGAATTCAAACTTTTTTAATTTAAATATAATTATACACTAGACATAAAGCAAATATATTTTTGTTGTTGATAATTTTTTTTGGTTCAAATGTAACAATGGTTTTGTTAAATATTTATAGAATATTTTGTTTCATAAAATTGAGTTCACTTTCAGTTCATTTAAAAATGATACAAAGATAGAGAAACTCATTATTAATATATGAAACAAAAGTTATAGTCGTTGTGCGGAAAGTTGATTAGTTTATAGTAACCAAAGTGACACAAAACCATATGAATGGTGAATGGCTTTTGTGGTGACAGTCGTGTGTGTGATCTGTAAGCGTATGCCATCCCAGAGGACGTGTACCCCATTCTCACCCCTTCACACCGATTATCATATGAAACGGAATGAAATTCATAATGAATAATACCTGATGGTGGGCAGAGCACAGGGAGCACAGGTAGCACTGGTGTTAACCTCATTCGGCTCTTCAATGATTGTCTCCAATGTATTGAAACGATGCAAATGTTTGGGGCCGTGAAGTAAGAGGAAGAGATGCCACGAAGAATTAGATCCGCGGCATCTCATCATACATTTGCCTCCAACTCAACAATCAATTCATGAATTGCTATAAATTCATACTTTTTGTCAGAATATTGAATATCGATATTAATAACTTTAATGAACTCAATATTTCTCATATCTTTTTAATTAAACATTTGTTTTGTGAATATATTTGTATGAATTGATGGACTGCACTAACAATTGTGGATCTAATCCTTAAACTGTATATAAAAATCATTCGTGCCTTAAATGTTGCTAGGCTATTCTAGTCCGAGACAAAAAATAACATTTGTATCACAAACTTTTTGTTTTATTGTCTCGTATATTGTCTCTAATAGTACAGCAATTAGTGCGCAAATACTTTGCAATTCACTGCAATAACCGATTAATCCTTGTTTTGAGTGAAACGCCTATATATTGCGGAAGCGGTCGACTCTCTGCCGAATCAATGATATGACGATTTGGGCCACAAATAACTGCATTCATAGAATATTCTGTGCAATATTCTGCTGAATACGTTTACCCTGGTATGTGTGCACTGCCTCTAAAGTAGTAGCAAAACATTGATAATTATTTCATTGCCTCACATTCTATGCATCGCTGATTAACTTTCATAATAATTGACAATTGGTCTACATTTTAAGCATTCATATTTCACTTTATAATTCAACTCGTTTTCAATATTATTGCAATATTTACTTCTTTTGTATCCCTTTGGGCTTAATTTAAAACAAAATTATAGAAAACTAATCTTTAAGTTTGTAGTAAAAACATAATTATGCGCTAAAAGGGGAAATTATAAATATCTGTATGATATTTAGGTGATTTTTTATGTAGATTCACTAAATATACAATTTATTTATTTATGACAGAATGTCTTATAGAATCCAGAATCATACTTATTTAGTAAATGAATAAATGTTCAATATTAATTTTTGCATTATGATAGTTATACATTTATAATTAAAAACAATTCTTACATATTTTCATTTACCAAAAAAATACAGAAATAACTTTTTTAGTGATTGATTGCTTTAAAAACAGATTGTAGAAAATATTTGTACAATTTTGACTAAATAAGCAAACAATACAAATATTTAATATAAAGCAATAAAATATGATATAAGAATTAAAAATATCTAGTCCTCATATTTCAGTCACTTGTAATCAAGTGATAATCAAATATAGTAATTAAGACTTGTATAAGACATACAGGTTTAAGAAATAAGAAATGTTTAAATTAAGCAGAATTTCTTACCCGCAAATACATATCTGACAAATACATATCTCCTTATTAGTGAGCGGTGGCATTCCTTGTGTTGTATTAAAACTTTAATCACTTCACAAAAGTATCGATACTTTGAAAGTAAAATTCGTCTTATCGATCAATGTCTATGAGATTAATCATAAAGTCTTTTAAAAAGTTGGTTGAATGCGAAAATTTAATATCTATTGAATTGAGTCCTAGGAATTGATGCTTAACTTTGTGTCATTGGTTGCAGACTATGCATCAAATGCTTTTATATAAGTATAGTAACCATAGATACTTCGGGTTTGTGGCGTTTTTAATTATTAATCTAATGCTGTATTAATAAAATTTATGTTCATTTTTGTAGTCATTTGAAGATCAGACATATATTAAAAGAATAGCAATCCGTTGCACTCTAATAACCAAACCCTACAAAACTCAATCCTTTCAATAACTCTCATTCATTAAATAACTTTCATTCCGTAAATATTATACCAAATATTTGGTTCTCTATTAATATTCATCGTAAAGATTTAAATTAAAAGTATTATTTATCGTTAATGAAATAAATTTTTTTATATTAGAAAATTAATATAAAATACATTTTAGTATACAAAGTATTCTGAGAAAAGTTTTCAAAGAGTTTCATTTAATGGCGATTTATTTATTTCGGATTCAATGGCTCCAGAGATTCCCGATCCTCAGGAGGAAGAATGGCAAAGATTTTAGACTTCAATGTGTTCAACAGAGAGTCCAGTTGTGCTATTTTGTCCAAAATCTTATCAATTCTGGTGACCAACACTTTCATTGAGTCCTCATTTTGCTGAGGTTTGAGATTTTCTTTGCAAACCTCGAGAGGCTTCACTCTCTCCTCAAGTCTGACCAACAGTTTCTTGGTCTCCATGTAATCGCTTTTATCGATGAAATTCGGACAATAGATCTGTTTGTTGGCCGTCCACATGAACTTCCCGTTTGTGGCCCACAAACAGTCCAACGCATCACTGATCGCTTCCTCGCACTCTTTGGTTAATTGTCTTCTCTTCTCAATGTCTTCATTCGCTTTATTAGTGTCCGCTGTTGTATCCATTTTGCGCCAAATGTCTTAATTGTCAATTAAATGAAGTAAATTGTAGTTTATATTTGAAAGGTTTTATTGTTACCAGGCTCAGTTCAATTCTTTTTGACGATTTTTCCCAACAGATCACCAGTTTGCAGGAAATTAAGATTTTAGCGCTAAATCTTACAGTTTATTATATTCTGTATATAGTAATTGGATATGTATATTATAGGCCTTACAGTTTACAATATTACTGTACAGTATAATACATACTATTTACAATGTTTATGATGATGATTTAATTTATCAAAAATTTATCCTAATGTACTCTACATTAATTTAAAATATTAATTGTGCAATTTATTAATTAGAATTAAAGTAAAATAAATATTAATACTAAATTGTATGTCTCTCTTATACCGTATGTTTGCAAACATTTTATTGAAATAAATTATGAATTATATTCTCTATATTCTGTAATAAATGGTATAAATCTTATACAATACTGTATTATCATAATATAATAAATATCGGTCACTAATAATTACAGGTAATAAATTTGAATTAATTAAAAACACGAAATTTTTAAATAGTATTTTAATAATAAAATTAACTTTATTTGAGTCCAAAATGTACAATACAAACAAATATGAAAACAAATATAACAACAAAAACAGATCAAATATATAATTTATTATCAATTGTTTTGTCTCCTCTTCGTGCTGTGAATGTCAATGAAGTGGACAATGGGTTCGGGGAACAGATGTTTGTATTCAATTCCATACCGATTGATGGCTTTGGCGGACAAACACTTGAGATTAAACTTGAGTTGTGTTTTGAGTAGAATCTCTGCGACACCAGTGGTGGCCGACTCCAGTGCCGTCTCATTCCTCTCGTTCACGGCATCCATATGTGCGCCGCTTTCCACCAGAGATGTGGTGATGGCGTGAAGAGTCAGGAAATCACTGATTGGCTTCTGATAGGCAACTATCAGATGGAGTGGACTATTGCGCCGCTCATCCAATGCGTTCACATCAGCGCCGCATTGCATCAATAGCTTAGTGGTGGCCGCGCACGGGAACCTATGGGACAGACATCACACACTCGGCGTTAACACTTGTTATCATTTTATTACAGTAATTATAATCATTAAATGATTAGTCAATGTCAGTAAAGCTGATGACATACTTGCAGACATTTTTCGTATAAAAGTCATCAATAGGTGTGTCGGCGCTCACACTCAGGTGTAAGAGGGATGAGCCGTCTTTGGTTCGTAATTGAAGTTTATTTATATTATATATCAATCGACACAAACAAAACTCTTCCTCTTTTGTCAATAATTTTAAAATCTAATGAAAAATAATTTGTTAATTATTTATTACCTGTAATAACATGTATGAGAAGCAAACCTTTGTGACAATAACTATAAGATAGAGAACGGTATGAATATTGTCGTCGAGTTCTTCCTGAATGGCATCTCTGGAGTTCTCATCGCAACACTTGTCAAGTGTTTCCTTATTTCGCTTCAATTCATTGAAAGCCGTGTCCATAACTTCCCGCAACGACTCAAATGGCAAATCATGTCTAATGTTAATGATTTGACTGAAGACTTGTGCGAAACGTAACAAATCCTTCTTAATTGAGACGGTGTTCAGAGTTCTTAATCTCATGGCGTGTAGCCATAGCTCAAGACACCGATCGAAGCGAGCGCTGTCCGCAAAGACAGCCCCTCTGAATATGACCGGATGCGGCAGTTCTGGGTTATTGACGCCTAATATACGCTCCCTTATCACCAGTGCCTCCATATGAAGGGCACACCTATTGGATTGAATGACAACTAATTCTTCTAATGTCTGACATTCAACTCTATTATCGTAGGCAGCTATTGGTGGCAATGGTTTCTTGAGTAGAGGTCTGTCGGGGTCTCTAAAGCGCGACCTCATCGCCCACTCCATGTAATAGTAACAGCGCTCCAAATCATACGAATCCTTGTCGTTGGCATACGAAGAGCCCAACAGTTCCAACGCTTCAATTCTCTCGATTTCAGAGATTTGTTCGAAAGAAGAGTTCGTGAAATACTCGACGATATGTGCGGCACCGGAAGCCGCGGCAGTCATTATGGGTGTCATTCCGATTGAGTTCTTCGTTATGACGGCGTTATGCGACAGAAGCTCTTTGATGGCAGACAAGTGGCCGTTCTCTGCAGCGAAGTGCAAGGCTGTCGCACCACAGAGAGCACGGGTGTTGGGGTCGGTGCCCAACATCAGCAGGTATTCGACCACCTGTTAGAACAATAATATATTGTTTTATAGTAATCAAGGTTTAAATGGGATTCAATGAGAGGTGACCTCTAAGTGTCCCTTATATGCGCTGATCATTAACGGCGTGTTATTGTATTTGTTGGACAAATGGATGTCCGCCTGGTTTTCCACCAAATACTTAACGATATCGAGTCGACCATCAAAACAGGCGGCCCTTTAAGATATGACCCAACAGTTAGTGTCTAAAACTCACAAATTATTTGATATAAACCTAAGAGGAGTTGAATGTGTTTTTGTCCAGTGATTGACATTAGCTTTGTGTTCAACCAGACAGCGCACGATATTGAGATGCCCTCCACTGCTGGCCACCTGTCCGTCCATTTCAATACACTATCAATCACTGCATCACTTGCTATACTCATCACAAGACATACCCAGAGAGCGGTGGCGCCTTCGATGAGGTACCCATCGAACTGAACGGATCCCTCCAACTCGAGGTCGGGCGCGAACTTCATGACCAGCAGTTTGACGATATTCTGGTGTCCATTCTTGGCCGCTATGATCAGTGGCGAGCACTTGGTCTGTCCGTCGGTCACCAATTCGTTGATATATCGGTTGGCCTCACATTTGGACAGATTGTGGAGCAGAGCGTAAAGGGTGACAGACATGCCATCCCTCGCACTCTCGTATATCTTACGGCCAACACATGAGTGCACGTAATGGAGGACCAAATGCTCCGACAGACCACGTCTTCGGCACACATTCACGTCATTCGCTTCGTTCATATCATTATCACTCATGTTGTCATCGATGGTACTCATTGTCCACTCAATCACTTAGAAACTGTTCACTGCTAACCATATCACATGAAACACTTGTCCGCTCGTCAATTGTCTCATTGATGGTCATCTCAAGACAGTACACTCATGTGCACCACAATAACACAAATAAATGAACTTGGTTAATGTATTACTCAACAGCTTATAACTACAATTAGACACTAATTGAGGTGATCTTAAGACAAGTGGACACTAAATGGTGACAAACCGTAAGAGTGGACACATCTTCAGTCATGTAAACAAACAGTGCTTTCATGTAAACAATGTCTCACTCGTGTGCCTCACTATACGTTATTTACGAATGACTTCTCAATACAACTTTGTGTCAAATGAACGAAACAATTGCCACAACTCTATGAGTCTATGCGTAACTCTTTCGCTATATGCAATACAATGTATCCAATCTTTCAATTGCTTTTAAAGTTTAAAAAACTTTTTTACAAATTATCTAGCAATTTAAGTTCATATTTAATTATATTGCATTTTGAACCGTAGTTGAGTTGATGTGAAACCATTTTGAATGTCTTTGTCATAAACTTTTATACAGATTCTGTAATACATATACCCTATGAGTGAATATAAGATATGATAAGAGTTGTTAGCATTGAATGAATAGCCAATTCATTGGACATAACTGTATGCATTCACTATCACATGAAATATATTCTTTAATTTGTTATTCGTTTACCATTTGAAATTAATTAAATAATTACTGGAACATGTGCAAGTAACTTTTCCAGTAGTTTTCGGCTTATATGTCAGATAAATTTCGGACAAAATAACTTATTGGCATTAAAAAGTGACCGAACCGGGAGTTTTAAGGCACAGGGAACTGGTATACGCGAGGGTTGGCTATATAGCTCTATCAAATTCAAGGTAAAGCCAAAAACTTGTGAAACTATGAATTGACCCAATTTTGGGTCCATTTGCGAGACCCCCGACTGATTTGCTGTGACATTATGAGAGCACTGGTATTTGAGAGACAACCATTGCAATGGTCACTACATGTGTAACACTGATTAGATTAATAATAATGATGACAAGTGTTGGAAATGTGTAAATCAATGGTTTGATTGCTAATTGTGTGGGAATTGTGGGAAATTGCGTGAATGGTTGGCAACTGTAGGTAACGTTGTCTATGAGCGCAGTGTTAGTGTCAGTGAGTATTGAAGTGAAGTGTGTATTACTGTATGAGTGTATGAAAGGTCTGGTTGTTTGCGATTGTATTCCCATTATTACTGCATTTAATAGTATAGCCATTGAAAGCATTATAGCATTGAATTGCGTCTATTTGTCCAAACATTCATCTAATTATCACCACATTTGGTCCACCAGTACAGCCATCACAGGACTCACTGAGTGATTTGGTGCTAATAAATGGTTAGTTTGCGAGTTGTGTTCAATTGAATGCATAAGTGATGTATTGATTGCAATGAGTGTTGAATGCATTGACTGAACAATAGAAGGAAGCAATGATTCCCTAAACACTCACCACTTGTTGTGAAGCAATCACTTCATTTGATCCGCAATCCACTGCTCAGTGCTATTGTCCACTCAATTGACACTTGCATTGAAGACACAGCAGCTATAGGTTTCGCGACAACCAGTGCTGAGTCGTGCGATAAGATGGCATGTCTTAACACATTGAAAGCGGATATCAAACGTCTGGAGAAGACATTCCCTAAGACTCACGACAGGTTTCAAGTGATATCCGCGACCGTCGATGAGATATCGTGTCGTTTCATCGCAAACAACGGCAAGAAATACGAAATCCACGCAAATATTACAGTAAATGCTCGCAAATAGTCTCATTGGAGTGCATATTGAGTGTAATGTTTGTCTCTTTCAGGAAACATATCCATCGGTACCTCCCGTCTGGTTCTCCGAGTCGGAGGAACCCGTCATCACAAATGTGGTCCAATCCCTGAGCAATACAAACGGTGCAGACAATCACCTCTTGAGACAAATAAGGATTTTAGTGGAGGAGTTGTGTCGCATCTATAACATGCCATTACTGCAAGACATGGAAAAGTTGGATCAGATCCGGTTCTGCGACGGACGGGACAACCAGTCAATCATTTGCGATGAACTCATTGATGATAAGCACATGTATCCCACGTACCCATCCGTGGAGCAGCCCATCAGCGATGACGAGGATGATGACGACGAAGACATGGCTGAGGAGGACCTGCACATCGAGATGGAGGACGAGAACCAGAACCAGGAGAAGAACAAAGACGAGGGACTGTCGACAGAACACACGGCAACACTGGAACGGTTGCGACAGAACCAAAGGGACGGTTACCTCAAGGGCTCGGTCTCGGGCTCCGTTCAGGCGACCGATCGACTCATGAAAGAGTTGAAAGAAGTCTATCGGTCGGAGAGCTTCAAGAGAGGCGTCTTCACCGTCGACTTAGTGAACGACAGTCTCTACGAGTGGAACGTTAAGCTTCTGGTCGTGGATCCCGACTCTCAACTGCACAATGACTTACAGGTTCTCAAAGAAAAAGAGGGCAAAGACTTCATTCTCCTCAACGTTCTCTTCAAAGAAGCCTTTCCTTTCGAACCGCCATTTGTTCGGGTCGTCCACCCGTCCATCACTGGGGGCTATGTGTTGGGCGGCGGCGCCATATGTATGGAACTGCTCACCAAACAGGTATTGCTCTTCATTTGCATTGCATTCATTTCATGTCATATTAAGCGCTAATGTTTGGTCTCAGGGCTGGAGCAGCGCCTATACGATCGAAGCGATTATATTACAAATATCCGCAACTCTTGTCAAAGGGAAGGCACGCATTCAGTTCGGAGGCAATAAAGTAATGAATGTTGTATTGCATTGTCTTTTATTGAATGCCATTTAACACATGCATTGTCTGTCCACCATAGGGTCAGTACAGCTTAGCTCGAGCTCAACAGTCCTTCAAATCTCTCGTACAAATACACGAAAAGAATGGTAAGTCTTGAGCACATTACATGAATAATGAATGAGTAATTAATGCATTGATTTCATATGAAATGATAGGTTGGTTCACACCTCCCAAAGAAGACGGTTAACAGATATTTGTCTTAAGATTATTTTTCTTGTATAATAGCAATGTATATAACAATTACTTATTAAACATAAAACAAACAAAACTGTGTCTCGATTTAGCGTTAGATGAAACGACCGAAAGCCTCATATATTCCGATCTAATCGTCAAAACAAATATACCGTATATTTAAAAACAATTGTAAAACAAGACATAAACATAAATAGCATAAAACAACAGTATATACTGTATAATATGATATACGATTTGAATTGTAATCAAGAAATCACTGATTTTTTGTTTTGATTCCAAATATTTCTATTTTAAGCGAATTTACTGTACATTTGAACTCTATATTTGCCACAAAATACTTTCATTATATATTTTCGTCGAATTACAACAAAAACTGTTTCGTTTACTGTAATTATTTTTAATTATTATATTTATCCAATATTTTAAACTCTCATAGCATTCCCGCAAAATTTAATTATAATCTTTTAATTCAAACCATTTGTAAAACTATTTTCAAACGAAGTAAAGATGAGTTTGTTTTGTGTTTTGTGCCACTTATTCGCGCATTATTTTATTTATTCATTATTATTCATAATAACTATTTTAATATAATTACAAATTTATAAAACAACTACTGTATGAAATGGAGGTAATGGAGGTACCGGTGCTCAGCAAATTCGCTTCTTGGAGATTACTCTCTCGATGACAAACTCATCCTTGTCTTTGTCCTTATCCTCTGTGGTCTCATCGCTCGCCTTAGTGTCCATTCCTTGCCTTTCCTTCTCCCGACTCCCCAACGCTCTCATGTATGTCTTGGGAGGGATTGGGAACCAACCGCCCAGTCCTGTCGGCACAACATTTCAATACTTAACACATTTTGTTTACAGTTAATTGGTGTATGAATTGAATGATTAAACGCATGCATTGCTATTGTCTGCAACTTTTGAAACTAACACTAAGTTTGAAAGTGAATGGACTGACTGTGAGGTACTACCCGTGCAATAGTGACACACCATTCATGGCAACAACCATTGAATACAAACCTAACACACTCTGAGCGCCTCCACTGAATTTAACTCCCTTTCCCGTCCAATAGGCCAGTCGTTTGAGGTCCACACACGCGATGATCTCATTGTTATGATTGGGAACGGGATCTACATTTCCGATCACTTCATCGGGCAATAGGTTAGGTCTGCGTCTCGTGGGAAGGGCTCCCAACTGGTAAAACGGACGGTTCTTGCAGCCCATCCTAATGAGACGGACACTGAATTGGCTGGCCTTCACCAACACCATTGTCACCACGGGATGTGCTCTCAATGACCACTCGTATGGGTTACCACTTCATAGACAATGTATTTTCATTGAGAGGCCATTGAATTGATGGCAAACTTATTGTTGACGATCGCTATGACAACAGCAGTTAACTTGAAGTTAAAGCTTACAGTCTTTTGAACACTACTCCAGTCTATGAGATGTATTCATATTGTGTTCAATGCATTCAATGCTGTGTTATATAGCGTTACACTAATAGCTATAGTCATAGTAATCGAGTTTTCATATTAATTCAACAATTGTCGAGTTTTTGAGCACTAATTGCATTCAAATTGTACTCAATTTCAACTCAATTCACACTCATTTCAATCATACCAGAGGTTTGAATGCATTTATTCATGTTTTCCATTACTTTTGTTTGCATCCAATACTCGAGTATTCATTCATTCAGTCATTTGTCAAAACCTCTAATCGTTTGAGTATTTTGTTTGACAACTAATTTTGTTTAGTTTTCGTTTCAATTCAATACTCAATATTCAACGAAACCATTGTTTTCCAGTCGATAGCCAGTCATTGAATGCAAAGTAATCGCAAAATTAAATGTTTTAATTAGTTTTGGTGTCAAAACCAGTTTCATTGAAATCAATATTTTCTTGTGTTTTGTCGAGTTTTATGAACTGATACTCAGATTGTATTGAATTAAATGTGTGTTTGTGTGATAATTATAGTTAATTTGGGTTTTAATAGCAATTGGGATGTGATATAATTGATTACAATTATATAGAATTGGTTTAGTATTGAAGTCTATGTGAAATTCATTGATTCACTGCAAAACTCAATGCAATGTTTCATACAATAAGTTATTGTGAGTCCAATAGACGTACTAAATATGTGTCCCTTTTATACACTTTTCAATATAATTTTCATACAGTTTTGTCTATAATATCGATGTCTTATTCAACAAATTATAATTCAAATTGAATTTATGTGACAATTAGTTAAAGTTTTGGTGAAACCAGTGGTCGACTAACGAGTGTTGAGATCGCTATTGAGATCACAATTGAGTTGATGTTGAAAGCGATTGAACGACTCGTTTGAGGCATAGATGCTATAAATGAGCAAAAATGATAACTTATTTTAATATTTGATTCATTGATTCCTATTCAACACAATACGAGTTTACAGTAATATTTCATTTATAGACCATTAGTTAAATGTAATTATAATTATTTTATTAATGCTTTTCGTGTTAAATCATTTAAACTACTTTGAATTACTCTTGAATTAACATAACATTACTCTGTGCAGAATATAACTCAATTTGGTTATTATAATTAAATTTAATATTAATTTTATTGATTTTAAACTAAATGTTACCAAATTATGGCAAACAATTTATATTTAACCGATAAGCGAGTGAATTGAATTGAAAATAAATTGTTTACAATATTACTGTCATCTCTATATTGAAACTTATATCATGTTCACTCAATGTATTCAAAACAATATTTAATTTCCATTCAACTTATTATAACTTTCTTATTATTCGTATTTCTAAAATTCATTTAATTTAGTTTCATTTACAACTATTATAATTTTAAACAACAATTTAATTGATAATTGTGTTAATATAATGATATTCTTCTCGTTCAGTGTCTCAGTCAATGATATACTGTATTGATTGACAGCAAAGCAAAGGATACGGTATATTGTTTGCCATTGCGAACCACTTTAAGGCCCACAATATCTATAACTGAAGACTAACTGTAAGTCAATGAGCTTTTCCTAAATTTGTGATTTGATTGCAATAAATATGGGTCTGAAATGTACTTCAGATAAGTTTTGAGCCGAAATGGAAACGGAAACAAAGGGTGAATCCAAAGACGACCCAATATCTGACGGCACATCACTTCTGGTCAATCAGAGCGGAACTGGTGTTCAGAAGCGACAGAAGAAGTCGACGGCTCCTGTCCTTCAGCGCATTCGGCCCATCAGTAAACGAAAAGTAAGTTATTTTGCAATGAATTACTTAATTATTGAGAATTTAACCGAAATTTAATGACAGAAATTCAAGAAGTCTTTGGGTCCAGACTTCTTAGAGCCGGCGGAACTGGGAATGCAATACTTGCGCGACACTTATGAACCAAAGTGTGATATCTGTTCGCTCACAATGTTCTCGTCCTCCACTTCACTCAATGTCTTCGAAGAGCTCCTTCACTGCAATAATTGTGATGCAAAAGGTTTGATATAAAGATTTAAAACAAAATTATTTGTCTATAATTTGTGATAATTGTATGATTAAAGCACATCCGAGTTGTGTGAATGTGAATGAGAATGAAGAGGTGGCCCATAAGACTCAATGGCAGTGCCATAATTGCAAACTTTGTTCCGTTTGTCGCAAAACAGATACCAATGTAATGATTAGTTTCTATTGAATATTGATTCCTTATTTTAAGCCTAGAGTTGTATTTATGAAATTGAAGTCAACTAATGATATGACTTAATTGAATTAGGAATACGTTATTATATGCCTGACATGTAGTAAAGGATTTCACGTGAAGTGTCACTCGACGCCTATCATTAACAGACCTAAAGGTAAGATTTATACTAAAATATGTGATATTTTTATATATGATTCATATATTGTATGACAGGGAACTGGTATTGTCATAGTTGTTGCACCAAAGGGTCGACTCATTCCTCTCATCACACCAATGGAGTGGATAAGAAGCCACTGATGTATGCCTCCGACGACTCCTCACAATCAGAAGACAATGAGAGTTCGCTCTCAACCAGAGACGAGAAGAACTTTAAATTAATGGTTGAAAATGATTCCAATAATTGTGAAGCCATTGAAAAGGAAAAGAGTATTTCTGGAGATTCTTCGGGTTCTATAAAAGATGAACAAAACAATAGAGAATCCAATGAAGACATCGAAGACAATCACAACGATTCTGTTTCTGAGAACATGGAGATAACGAATGGAATCCATTCTATCAAAGAGAATATCGATGAAGAAGCAAATGAAATGGACATCGATTTCAAAGCTAATGTCCAAAGGTATGAAATGATTGTTTCTGGTTTGTCTCTATCGTGACACTAAACAAACTAATTTGTTATGAAGTAGTGGTGACTCTAATCAAAGCCTCATCACAAGTGTGAGTCCGCAGAAGTGGTCAGTCGAAGAGGTGGAGTCATTCATAAGAGACGCGGGCTTTCCTTCGGAGTCACTAATATTCAAAGAGCAAGAAATCGATGGAAGATCTCTATTGCTGTTAAGACGAATGGATGTGTTGACTGGTCTGTCGTTAAAATTAGGTCCCGCTCTCAAGATATACAATCATATATCACGTCTTCAGGGCCGAGACCCCACTCAGCAAACAACCAATAATTCAAATAACTGTTAATTTATATACAAAACCCATTTTTAGAGACAATTGTTGGCTTTAATCAAATTCTCATTGAAGTCATTCGAGTAATTATTAACATATTCACAAGTTTTTAATTATACCTTTATTTGTGGTATTTTATTCTTGAAGTTATAATTTATTTGTTTAATGTATGCAACACTTACGGTAATATATTATTTTATCAGTTCTCTCTATTTAAGTACAATTTGTTGCTTAGTTTGTAATGATTTTATCATTAATTCATTTATTGTTATGTATTCTCTGTGTTTCAAATTGTATTTTATTTAAACTATTCTATAAATAATTTATATATTATTTAATTGAAACCTATATATATCACAAAATGCATTAATTTTATCAGCAATTTAATGAATTTATTCTCACATTTCAACAAATGTAAAGTTAATTATATTTTTGACTAATTATTAAATCCTTTGTATAGTACAATGATTTGTAAAAATAGCATTAAAATATTGACAAAATTACAACAACTTCTGACTTAATTTATAATGAATTAACTGATTTGAATGAGACCCTGGGTATGATGGCATACAGTATTGCCAATAGCTGTGAGTGCAATGCATAGCCAATAGAGTGAAGTGTTGTAGTGATTGGCAGTGAATGACGTGAATGTGTGACCAAAACAACAACACATCCACTCTTTGACAACACTTTCAATTGATTGCAATCCATATAATGATGGGTCAGAAGGTATGTCCAGACAAGACAATTGTCGGCTATGAGAGTGACAAATGTTTGTATTTATGGAAAACAACAACACATCCACTCTTTGACAACACTTTCAATTGATTGCAATCCATATAATGATGGGTCAGAAGGTATGTCCAGACAAGACAATTGTCGGCTATGAGAGTGACAAATGTTTGTATTTATGGGAAGCCCTCATCGATGTCTTCACCATCAAGTCCTGAACACATCATATTTGACTTCGACAGAGACATAACTGTGACCAGACATCAGCGGTTTAAGTATGATATCTAATCATCTGTTGATAATATGCCATAAACTGATGGTTGCCTTAACTGTAACAGACATCCGAGCGCCGCCTTCTTCCACATCATATTCAAGATGTCATCGATTGTCACCTATTTGTTTGGCGGTCTCTTCGGCCAGGGTTTGTCCTATCAATGAGTTCTTGTGGTCACAAATAACACTAACGTGAATGCCATTGATTTCAGACTTTCTGTCAATATTTGTTTTATTGATTTTATTGATATCAATGGACTTCTGGACCGTGAAGAACGTGACGGGAAGGCTATTAGTGGGTCTTCGGTGGTGGAACCGCATCGATGACGAGGGTAACAGTCAGTGGCTCTTTGAGAACAAATACAAGAAAGACAACAACAGCGACGACTCAATCAAAGACTTGAATCAATTGTCTGAAAATACGGCCGATTCGACCATCTTCTGGACGGCACTAATCGTTGCACCGATTCTTTGGTTTATCTTACTTTTAGTCACTATTTTTCGACTCAATGTCCAGTGGTTTGTGAGTATTGACTCATTAGCTCATAATTAAGCCATAATTAAATTAAGTGATACTATATATGCATTGATCAGATGGTGGTGTCTTTAGCTCTGGTACTGAGCGCATCCAACCTCTACGGCTATATTCGGTGCAAATTGGGTGGAAATTTCAAATCAGTTTTGACACAATATGTGGGAAAACAGATATTTTATAATGTAAGCGTTCATACATTTTAGTATTTTAGTAAAGTTATAGCAAATAATTACAGTCTATGTAATCATTATAAATGACTATAATATGACTTTTCAAACCACAGTTCATGTCTTCGTCCAACGCTAAGACAACTCAGAATATGAGTGGATATCCGAGCGCTTAAGAGGCAGTCATTTGACGCCAACATTCCAGAGGTTTAAACTGAAGGCTTTGCGAATACTTTCATAACTAGTCGTCACTATATTTAAAGAACTTTCGATGTCCTCAGCCGTGAAGTGAGGAAAATATTGTTTAACTAATTTATAATCTTGTAATCCATGTCTTGTAAATAAATGTTGCAATTGATCCGAAAGACAACTCGGAATTAATAGATAAAAACTAGTGATGTTTTGAGCTCTCAATTCGTCAATCTTTGTGTCCAATGGCTGAGGAAAGTCGAGAACCGATAAGTCATGGACGCGAATGTGTGTCCATTTGTTGTCGATATTAAGCAAATGACGCGGAGGTAAATAGGTTCGCGAGAAGATTATATCCATGTCTTTGTTGGGGTTCTCTCTAATGATACGATTCAAATGAAACACCCCTTTAATGACTCCCGACTGATGTATGAATGCATAGAATATGACAAGAATTATATTCACGACAATCCATACACTGAATACTAATTTGCGGTTAAGTATACGGTTTGCGTATAGAAAGCAAAGGGGAACCAGACTTGGGATGAGGAACCGGGGCTCCTGATGGGGGATCAGTGAGAAGCCCACAAGAGGTACGATGAATGTGAGTATAGCTATGCTTTCAAACACATCAAACGGCCGTCGCTTTGGCCGTGATTTCAATGATTTGATGAATTGTCGACATTTTGTGAACAAATCAAAGTACGCGAAGAGTCCTAATATGGAGAAAGCGAGCGGAACGCTAACCATTGCGTGAAAATACGGCGGATGGAGACCATGATTGACCAGATTTGAGGTCTTTGTGTTGTATTTTGCAAAATTCAATGGAGTTATGACTAGACTTGTGACTAACTCTTCAAATCGATAGTTAAGTAAGTTTTGGTAAATTTCAAACGGGTTTTGACTGTAATATAAAGTGTCGACAATTATTAATACCATAGAAGTGGTCACAAAAGATGGCAATAATGAGAGGCCGCGACTTGTGAATGAAGTGACCGATTGGGTGACAGTTCTTCGGCGTCTTTGGCGGCCCTGAAATGAGGCCCAAAATAAGACGGCTGTCGACGCGAACAACACAAATGTGGGTCTATTGAAGAAACCCAACGATAGTATTGTGCCGATTATGGATGCGTTGGAAGCGCTGTAATGATTGGTCGCAATGGCTTTGAACACATTCACCAAAAGTAGTGATAATAAAATAGTTTCAATAGTATTGCTGAAAGTTTGAGTTAAATAAGTGATACTAATATACGAAGAGCTGAAGACCACGAGTGATGGCATCAACTGCGGACTTCTTCGGCTGTAAAGACACAGCTTATAGAGACTGTAGTCACATATGAATGACAATAAAGTGATGACAATTCGCGGACCAATGAAGACGATGAAGGGGTTGTGCTGAAGACCAATGGCTTTGATGGCAGTGAAGACTGGAGTGGAAACCAATTGCGGAAAAAATATGTTTCTTAAGGGGAAGGATGTGTTGAATTCCCAGACAAACAGCGCCGTCGTGTCCAACACTTGTGCGGCAATCGGTTCCGTGGACTGGAAGAACTGATCCGGTTGTAGGTATGACCAGTTCAGACAGTCCTCACATAATAACAGTGCGATCCTCACCACCGATAGTGATATCCAAATGTGTTTCAATTGACTCATCATTTAATCATTAATACTGTAATCAAATCAATTGAAATGCAATCAACATTTCATTCAAAACATTGCAAAAAGTTTTTACACTAATAAACACCTCTCTGTCCGTCAATAACGTGATACTTGTGTTCACTTTGAGACCCCTTTTGAACTCTAAGCCATGTTTTCAAAGCAAATGTAACGCAAGAAATGTATTGATTTGTGCCGTAATTAGCGGTGACTATAGGCCGGCGTTGGAGTTGTGATGACATGAATGCCTTTATTTCATCACATATTGAATGCAATCGTTTGCTGTGAATGTGAAACACATTTCAGGATTTGCTTTCAATTTGATATCATATTTAAGTTAATTATTAACACATTTGTGATCACATTATACATAAAATGAGTGAAACTATTGACAAACAATTGAGTGATGGTCTCAAACTAAGTATGACTTGATTTGCGGACAATATTTGCCACAATTTATTCATTATCTGACTTTTAACTGATTTCAGAGGAGATTTATATCCACGAGAAGACCGGCGATGACGGGTCCGGTGATGGCAGTGAAGCCAAACCGCTGAAGACATTGCTGGAAGCGATGAGACGAGCGGGCGATGAGCCGTTCCCCACGTTTTACAGCGATTCCAAAGAAGAAGATAATAAATGGGTTGTCGTGTCTGCCTCTCAGATGAAGAAAATCAAAAAGATTTGGATCCGAGAGAAGCATAAGACTGATGGCAAACAACACAAAGAGGCCGAAGACGAGGAGCGACGGCTCAAGAACTTAGAGGAATCGAAGAATATTGTCATCAAAGAGGACCCATCGCTGCCCAAAGCAGTTGAGGTGAAGATCAGAGACACTGTTCCGCATCGCAACCAAAGAGTGACAGTCAAGGGTTGGGTGCATCGGCTCCGACGTCAGGGAAAGGCTCTCATGTTTATTACGCTGAGAGACGGCACCGGATTCTTGCAGTCCGTTCTCACCAATCAATTGTGTCAGACATACAACGCTCTCGTCCTTCAGACCGAATCCACAGTTCAGTTGTACGGTATTCTGAAGGAGACTCCGGCGGGAAAGACAGCACCGGGAGGTCATGAATTGCAATGCGATTACTGGGAACTCGTTGGCGACTCACCGGCCGGTGGTATCGACAACGTGTTGAATGAGGAGTCCTTTATTGACATCCAATTAGATCAAAGACATCTTATGCTGAGGGGAGAGGTTTTGTCCAAAATAATGGCCTTCCGATCGTTAGTTTTGCAGTCATTTCGCGGACATTACATATCCAGAGGTTATGTGGAAGTGACTCCTCCGACATTAGTGCAGTCGCAAGTGGAGGGCGGATCCACTCTATTCAAGTTTGACTACTTCGGTGAAGAGGTACAGTCGATAACTTTTGGATTAAGTCTTAACGGATCATTGATTTCCTACTCAATTGATTTCAGGCTTACTTGACTCAATCGTCTCAACTCTATTTGGAGACATTATTGCCGTCTTTGGGAGACGTCTTCTGCATCGCTCAGTCATATCGGGCAGAGAAGGCGCGCACTCGAAGGCATTTGTCTGAATACACTCACGTGGAGGCCGAATGTCCTTTCATTAAGTTTGAAGACTTGTTGGACAGAGTGGAAGACCTGTTGGTCGATGTGGTCGACCGGTTGATGGCTCACCCGTTGGGCAGAGAGACTATCAATCATTTCAACCCTGACTTCAAAGCGCCTAAAAAGCCGTTCAAACGCATGGATTATAAGGACGCTATTGTTTATCTCAAAGAGAATAACATCACTAAAGAGGACCAGACTTTCTATGAATTCGGTGAAGACATTCCAGAAATGCCCGAAAGGAAAATGACGGACAAAATAAACGAGGTTTCCATCATATAATGAAATTAATTGGAGAGAAATTATAAAGAAATTTGTATTTTACAGCCAATAATGTTGTGTCGATTCCCGGCAGAAATTAAGTCCTTTTATATGCCCCGATGTGCTGATGATAAGAGACTCACAGAATCTGTAATTATTGTTGATTTTAATTGGTTTGTCATAAACTAAACCCATTTATATTGGACTCAAAGGTTGATGTATTGCTTCCGGGAGTGGGAGAGATAATCGGCGGTTCGATGAGGATTTGGAAACACCAAGAGTTGATGGAAGGCTTTAAACGCGAAGGCATTGATCCTAAGGACTATTACTGGTACACCGATCAGCGATTATTTGGCACCTGTCCTCACGGCGGCTATGGTTTAGGTCTCGAGAGATTCATTACTTATATCCTCAACCGATACCACATTCGCGACGCATGTCTTTACCCCCGATTTGTCTCCCGCTGTAAGCCTTAACGCTATCTATTTGTATTCAATTGAATAATATTTAATAAATGAACGAATTTTCTGCTTTCTATGCTATACTTTTTAATACTGTATTACTTTAAAATGGGATCAAAATAATCTTTGATTTAATCTATTGATTAAGTGTTTCATTAAAGTATTAGGGATTATGCTTTTAAAACTATGTAAAACTGTTTTGTATACAGTAATTTTGTCAATTATAATTTATAAACTTTTTTAAATAAAAATATTGGTCTGCAAAAGTTGATTTACTAAATAAAATAACTTTAATCTATGGCATAGACTATGCATTTAATTAAATTGACAGATATGAAGCACTAAAAATCTATGTACTAAAAATCTACTTTTAGTACTTTTAATAACATCTTATTGAATAATATAAACAAATGTTTTAAAACATGAAATGTTGTTCAGAACTGTTTTTAAGAACAAAGTCTCCATTTATCGCAACATTTCTTATCGATCGAAAGATTTTCGTTGAAACCCAACTGGAAGTCCGTAAAACTCTATATTATAGTTATTACCGATCGTTAGCTATTAGTTGAAGTCAAGGCCAGTCATAACAGGACAGACTCTCTGCGATAGTTTAGCATAAATCGCGATAACAACAATTTTTGGTATATTTAGATATTTTCCACATTTTAAAGCCTTATAATTTGTGACCAAAGGTTAGTAAACGTATAAACGTACTCTCACTTAGAGTCCACATTCAGTGTCCACGATATAAAAGCTATATTTTGTTTGTGTTCTTCGTATTGACAGTAGAGAAGTGATGATTAAATATAAAACTTTTTAAATAACTTTTATATCAAATCATTTGGGCGTTGAATAACAGTAAAAATAATTTTTGTTTCGACACAAACGCGAGACAACATCGTTGCGGAAATATATTCAATAGATTGAACATTTCGTGCTGGAGTTGTAGGCTGTGCTTACGAGTTAGTATAGCCCTGGGCACTGATTGCCTCGAATAACATCATAAGTTATATTATTATTTTCAAAAACTTTTTCTAGAAACCTAATTTCACTTTTTGTTTAAACATTAAGTTTTGAAAAAGTATTTCAAACTATTTATTACTAGTGTCTATTCAATTGAATTTAGTTGCGAATTTATTATTTAATTAAATGCAAAATGGTTGTTTTATTACACAAAATTAAGTTGTGTTCAAATATAATCAATAATTATACCAAAAATCATGGATTAAAATACGTCAAAAGTACCTTTCGTTTGGATAATAGGACTTATTCTTCGGAGAGGTTGAGGTAAAAATATTGACAATTAATGTTTAAACAAGTCTATTTTAACCATACAGTATTGAAAAATATTGAAACAATTACTTTATTATATATTTAATTATTGAAACCAATTTAGGTAATTTATTATATCATATATCATCATAAATTTTTAATAATTCATCAATTTTGAATACTAAACATTAAAAAGTAATATAAAGTGTTAAATATGTTATATTTTTTATTATATTAATATCATTGATAATATCATTATCAAAATAAGGAAGTATTTGCATTAAATACTGAATCATGTGATTAATTTATTGTATTTTATTCTAATGATTAAATATATTAAAATATTTATTTTATAACTCAAAATATTTAATTCTTTGTTTAGTGACAGATAGGTTTAAATATAATACACTATAATATAATGCTTTACTTATACAGCTAAAAATATTTTATTAATTGAAATAATTTTTTATGTGTCGAAATTATTTGATCAATTAAGAACAATTAATTTGGCAGACATATTTAATACAATTGTAATTATTTCATGCATTACTTTGTTAATGAATCATTAATAATGATTGTCACAACACATGGATGGGCCCGTGCAGGATAATTCTTAGAAATACACTTTCAAACTAATTTTGTCAAACTTTATTTGTTAATGTGTGTTAGTGTAAAATTACAGTTTGAAATGTATATTTCTATGAATATTTTAATAACTTATAGTCCACATATTTCCTTCAGAATATAATTGTTCTTAATGGAAAACAAATTTAGACCCTTGGTTATAAAATATTAATTGAGCTTTCTTATAACTGACAAATTGGATACTAATCCCAAACCAATCCCATGCCATAACAGCGCTCACGTATCGTTTCCGTATTCACACGCTTACGGACGCAGTGCTAAACAGCTTCAGTACCTCAGGATTGGAGATCTTCTGACACAAAGAGCCCAAACAGGTATATATTATTCAACATTAGTCTAAATTTTACATTTCTCTTATATTGCAATTAAAATATTACATTATAAATGAATTATTTATAATCCCAAATATTTACAAAATATAAATAACAGTTTTGTGAACATTTGTTTGTATAGAGAGTAACAGAATAGCGTTTGTCAGCGAATACGAGAATATAAGCAAAACTTATTCGCAATTTGAAGAAGACGTCAACAAATTGTCGAAAGGACTCTTAGATTTAGGTCTGTCTGCGAGTGTCAAGTCTATGAATTCATACAACAAACTAGTTTTTTAGGTCTTAAGAGGGGAGATGTGGTGGGCGTCTGGAGTTGCAATTCATATCCCTGGGTAACTACATTTTAAAAGTAGATAGTTAAAAACTCTAAAAGTTTGTATTCAACGACAGATCCAGGTGCAATATGCGTGTGCCCGTATAGGGATAGTATTGTGCACAATTAATCCGGTCTATCAAAGTCCAGAATTGAATTATGCCCTCAGAAAAGGACAAATTAAAGCTATCTTTATGCCCGGCAATGGCTCTAAACAAGAAGTTGTCAATAAATACCAACACGTTTTAAAAGAAACACTAAATTCTTCAGATGAGGTAACATTCTTGTGGTAAAAATGATATTAATATAAGATAATACTTATGTCATAAAATTATTTAAATTTAGTATTAACATCAATTTAATATAATTATGGACAACTTAATTAATCTTATCACACGTTATGAAATATTTCAATTTGAATTTATTATAAAGATATTTCATTGAGAATTATGGAAATTAACTTACTGTTACACCTTTATGATAGAATTCTTACAGTAACTCATGTTTTACATTAGTGTTTACAGTAAAAGAAGTACAAATATGAGTACAAAAGTGATAAGATTTAGCAAAGCTGTTTATTAATTTATACGTCTAGTACAGTACATTTATAATATAAGATAACTTTAAATCATATGATAATATTACAGTAGAGTTTAGATTTTCAAATTAGAATAAACTTTACAGAATATTCTTTACAAATATCCAATGCAATATTTTAGAATATTATACTATGGTATAGTAACTATACAAATATTATTTCTTTACAAATATTATTTTTTTAATAATCATTTAAACAGAAAGAAAGCGATAAATTGATACTAAAAGATGTGATTCTAATGGATGGCAACTATTCTTCGGGAGACACAACACATGGATATAATTTTCTTCCCTTTAATAGTTTGCTTTCAAACGACGGAAAACTAGACCAATCAGTTATCGATGACGTCTCTCCAGATGATCCGGCTATCATCATGTTTACCTCGGTTTGCAGTATTTTCATTTATATATCTAAATATGATTTTAACACAATTTTCAATTTTACAAAAGGGAACCACAGGCAAACCTAAAGGGGCTTATTTATCACACTTTACATTAGGTTTGTTTTGATTTAATTAAGTTTTGTTTGCTTATAAATTTACTAATGATCATTTTATAAATAATTAGTCAACAATGCATTGCTTACCAAGGAGAGTTTCGATTTCGGTGAACCCATTTCGATGTTAATTCCCCTCCCATTCTTCCACTCGTTTGCCGCAGTCTTAGGCAATATATCGATGACTGCCGTTCCCTTTACATCAGGTATTCATTGAACGCTATAATTTATTTTATTAATCCATTAAAATCTAATTAAATAACTATTTATACATAAAGTGATCGCAAATCTGAAATATGACGTGAAGTTGATTGTGGAGGCAATGATCAAACACTCGTGTACTCACATCATAGTGACGCCAACGATGGTCATCGATATGTTGAACTATTTGGAGAAAAATCAGTTACAAATGCCGTCATTGAGGGGTACACTGATTGGCGGCGCACCCGTTCCCGTCGAAGTGGCCCATCATATCAATCGAGTCATTCCCACGTGCGATGACGTCCGCATTGGTTACGGCGCCACTGAACTCGGTTTGTGTCCATTACTGGTAATACTTGTAATTGTATTATAATGTCTCTCTATGTCCACACCAATAGGTCCCTGTACTACAGCCTGTCATAAAAAGGATACATTAACACAGCGAATGGAAACCGTGGGCATGTGTTTAGTTCATCCCTTATTTTACAATCAATTAATAATTAATATTTTTGTCTATATTTAAAATAAATAGGAAGTCCTTTGGATTTAGTAGAAGTTAAAATAGTGGATCCAACGACTGGAATGACCACTAAAATTGGAGAGCAAGGTACTTAAATATACAGAGTACTAGTTAGCAAATAATTAATGATTAATGATTAGGGGAACTATTATCGCGCGGACATAATGTTATGATCGGTTACTGGAGGGACGAGATTAAGACCAAAGAAGCGATTGATGACGCGAAGTGGTATAAATCGGGGTATGAATTGGATTATTAATAAATATTAATGTAAAATTTGGTAACAATTAATTAATTTGCAGGGATCTCGCGGTTATGGATGACCAGGGATTTGTCAAAATAATTGGTCGAACAAAAGAGATGATAATAAGAGGCGGAGAAAACATATATCCGCGAGAAGTGGAGGAATTGCTTCACACGATTCCCGATGTGTTTGACGCTTATGTATGTCTTTGTGAATCATTTGGTAACATACGGTGTATTACATAAAATATGAATCAATAGGTTGTAGGCGTTCCCGATGAAAGGGTGGGCGAAGAAGTGTGTGCATGGATTCAGCTTAAAAACAAAGACTCAAAGCTTACTGAAGACGATGTCAGAAAATTTTGCAAAGAAAAGGTATTAAACGAAATAATTGTTGACTTTATATGTAATCATTGATTACTGATCAATGTTCATATGAATAGATCTCATACTTCAAAGTTCCCCGTTATGTCATGTTTGTCGACGGATTCCCAATGACTCCCACCGGAAAGGCTAAGAAGTTTATTATGAGGGAAGTGTCGTGTGAAAAGTTAGGCCTTAAAGAAATCATTAAGCGATAAATCACTAAAATATTATTTTTATTTTAAAATTTACATTTAATTAGAGTTTTTGATTTTTTATGTAAAGTATTTTACTAATTATATAAAGTGAGAAGTATACAAAACACTTTATTATTCTAAACTTATTATTCTACAAAAAATAAAAATGACATATTATAATTTGCTGACTTTACAAATTATTTTTGTTATTTAAAAATAAATATTGTTTACACATTATATAAAATTTCATTTACTCTTTAAATTATTTTACTTAATTGTGTACCAAAGTTAAAGTTAGCTATAACGGAATCACTGTGGATTATGAAATTATCAAAGATTAATTTATTAAATTGGTATCCCTAACCGCGCCTAATAAAATAATACTTTAAAAAGTTTTATTACAAAAAAGCAAGGACTTCATTGATGCATTGAATTTTAAAAAATTCAATGTTAATGTTATATTAAAATAGACATTGAATTTTTTAAACCACTTTTCAGACGTTAAACAATCAATTTACGTCAATCTCATTATAGTATAGTTTAATTTTTCGTTTAATTAAAAGCATATACTTTTATTTAATCTGATTTTTAAAATAATTATAATACAATATATGTAATTTAGTCTTCATTTGGATTACAAGTTTGTGAATACAATGTCTCAAATGTCTGTTTAAATATAGTTAATGAGAGAATCCTTGATTCAGAAAAAATGACTTCAATTAAACTAAATTATAAATAGTATGTCATTAAAAGACTTGTTTAAAACTAATCGAGCGATAAGTCATAGCTCTCACAGTATTTAAACATTAATTATTTAATAACGTGTAATAATTAGCGCTGAATAATAATTGTTGTCGCTCAATATAACATTAAATTACAATTCAATATTACATTCAGTCTCAGATTTCTTATTATTAATATTAAAACACAATTTATATATTGATTTTTACATTGAATAGTTTATAATTATAAAAAGTTTTTAAAAGTTTTAGTTATATTAATTTTTAACGAAAATATTTTAACTTTTTACACTGTTGTCAAATAAAAGCTACTTTAAGAATTTGATGTAAAGTACATTTAACAAATATATTTCACTTATAACTGTAAGTAAAGCCTATTTCATAGTATTCATAGTCTTAAAATATTTATGACAATATTTACAGTAAATCTTAGTTTTAAAATATATTTAAAAGTTTAAAAAATAGTTATTTATTGTAGTATTCCGTCCGTTTGATTATAGGTACTGAATAATACTGAATAGCAATGTAGTCGAGTATTAATACTACATAATTAAAAATTAAAAATTAAAAATTAAAAATTAAAAATTATATTGTATATTGAAGATATATCTAAAAGTCTCGTTAAAATTTAATTCATATTAAACTAAATCAAGAAATTATTACTTGATTTAACTATCAAATCAAAAAATATTAAAATAATTTATTTAAATCTGATCGAAAGGTTAAATATATTTGAACAAAATTCGAGCCCAAGATTCTTAAGATATACAATGTATTCATAATATGCTGATAACCTAACCTAACCTACCCTAACCTTAATCCCTAATCTTTGATTCTATTGTCGTTTAATGATTTACTTTAGATTTAAATAATATCAACAAATTTTTGTCAATACTTAATAGTATTCATAGTCTTAAAATATTTATGACAATATTTACAGTAAATCTTAGTTTTAAAATATATTTAAAAGTTTAAAAAATAGTTATTTATTGTAGTATTCCGTCCGTTTGATTATAGGTACTGAATTAAAAATTAAAAATTATATTGTATATTGAAGATATATCTAAAAGTCTCGTTAAAATTTAATTGATATTAAACTAAATCAAGAAATTATTACTTGATTTAACTATCAAATCAAAAAATATTAAAATAATTTATTTAAATTAATCGAAAGGTTAAATATATTTGAACAAAATTCGAGCCCAAGATTCTTAAGATATACAGACATAAGTATTATACGACTATTGGATTGGATTGGATGGGATTGGAATTAGGGATTAGAAACTAAGATAACAGCAAATTACTAAATGAAATCTAAATTTATTATAGTTGTTTAAAAACAGTTATGAATAAATACATAAATATTAATATCAGTCATAGTGTCAGTAATAAGGAAATTAATTTATGTGTTGTGGGTATTAAACAAATAGAGAATAACACAAAACACAATTTCATAAAATAAATTGAACACGGGTACAGTATTGAAAATAATACAGATATTTAATGGCAAATGTATAGTAGATATATTGAACACATTTATTCATTTATGCGTTAAATCGCAGAATCTATAAAACTGTTGAGACAGTCGTGAACTGAATCTATAATAAATAAAAAACAAATGCTAATCAAACAGGTTTACAAATGTCTAATGAAACTTGGGGCTTTTCCTTTTTATACATTTAATTAATCAGTTTTATATTAATTGAAATAATTTCTTCAATTCTAAGATTTAAAACTGACGAATAGATTCTCAATTCTCAAGACAATTGTGACAAATGAATGCAATCTTAAATAAATGCCAGAAATTATTGCAAATATAGACACAATTAAATGTAAGACTCATATTCCGTGACATTCAGTGTATGTGTTTTCAACAAAAAACACACGATTTGCACGAATAATGAGCTGGTATTCAATAGTATTGCCAATTTGTCATCAATAAAGTCTAGTTGTGACACAATTATACGCTTGATAACAATCGGTCAAAATAATATATTCAATTTATTTTACTAAATTTGCAAACTTTTCAAATAAAAGTTTAATAATTCAACGAATCGTTTTAAAGTCAATATCAACTCAATACAAATTTATTTTTATTTTTATTTAAAAATATTTGAATACAACTATAATATACTGTAATATTTATAACAGTATTTAGAATTTTTTTGAAGTAAAGAAAGTTTAGATTTTCAGGAAAATGTATTTCTGTTTATTATAATCACAGCTGCAATTGAATTATCGAAAACAAACAGTTACATCAAAAAAGTTTTTGTTTGAATATCGGTTTATGTCAAGGATTCCATGCAATCTATTGTCAACTATTATGTCAGAACATTCAATATAAATATTATATAAATTGACTCAACTTATTATGTTTGTATTATCGCTCATTAGAATGAGGACTAATTCATGCAAATTATGGACACAAATATATTATAAGATTCTCTCACTTATGATTACAAAGTCCACTGAAATTTATTCACAAAAATTGTGCTCAAAATCGTAGCAACGATTCAAATATTGTGACACTATATAACTTTGTGCTCAAATTTATTCATTGCTTTCTATTATTGTCAGAATATTATATTCTATTCAAATTTATTACGATATTTAAAATAATATTTTGTTTCAGGTACTGTAGAATTTATTTCACATCATCAAAAATGATAGTTATTGTAACATTTTACTCAATTGTTTTCTATTTTAATATAATTTGCTTACATGTAAAAGCTTACTTTTATAAACTTTTATAAATATTTTATAAATAACTATTAATTTGATATATTAATTAACAGCAATGACTACATCTTTGGCTTTAACTGAAATTAATGGGAATCGATATGAGATTAACACCAAAAACGGAAACATCGCGCAGAGGACAGGACCCACAGCACCGGCTCCTAAACAAACTCGTGACCAATGGGGCGGACAAATAGAGTTCCTGTTGGCCTGTCTCGGCAATGCCGTCGGACTCGGAAATGTATGTTTTATGTCATTTGTTGCTTCATTCAAATACTAATTTAATAATTCATTTATTTATTTATTAAAAGTGTTGGCGCTTTCCATATCTTTGTTATAAAAACGGTGGTGGTCAGTATTATTTTATGTTAAATAAATAGTATTAAATTTATAAATTTACACTAGTGCTAATTAGCATCTAATTGATTTTTACTATTGAATTCAGTTGTAATATAAACTGCATTAAATTTCAGGTGCATTCCTAATACCATATATCATATGTTCATTTGTCATTGGATTACCTTTATTTCTGATCGAGTTAAGTCTTGGTCAATATTCATCAATGGGTCCTGCTCATTTATATGCAAATTTATCACCATTTTTTAAAGGTGTGTTGTTAAATCTTTAGCCAATTTGTTGATCATCTCATCAATTAAATATAGGACTGGGATTAACATCTATAATAAGTTCAATGATAGTTGCCGTGTATTATAATATGATAATCGCTTGGACTCTCTTCTACTTCGTCGGCTCATTCTTGGGTCAGGATTGGCAGCATTGCGGACAACATTTCAATACATTAAGTCAGACAATTGCTTATAGAAATACTGTATATTATAATATATGTTAAACATTATTTTACAATCAATAGATTGCACGACAATTAACGATAAAATAAATTCCACTAATTATTCAATTTCGTCGACTGAAGAATATTTCAAGTATTATATAAAACATAATTATGTCATTTGCAACAAAACTAAATTGATGTTTTATTCTATAAACAAGTAACTTTGTGTTAACAAAATCTGATGGATTAGACGTAATGAATAGCATTAATTGGCGATTAGTTGCTGCGCTCTTTGTCTCCTGGGTTATAGTTGTGGCCGCACTCATCAAAGGGATCCAATCTTCGGGTATATTTATTATAGATATTTTACAACTTATTTGACATCAATGCTTAAAATTGGTACAATTTGTGAACACAGGGAAGGTTGTGTATTTTACGGCAACCTTTCCATATGTTATACTTATTATTCTGTTCATCAGAGGAATAACACTTGACGGAGCTATAGATGGTTTGTTCATGATTTTAAAATGACCTAGTGTGTAAATGTAACTAAACCTAATTAAATATGATAGGTTTGCGTTATTACGTGACCCCCGAGTGGAGCAGAGTTAAAGACCCGGGAGTCTGGAGGGATGCGGCCGTTCAGGTGTTCTATAGCTTTGGAATCGGTTTGTATTTCTTATAAGTTATAAACTTTTCATTTCGATAAATATCTGATCATTAATTCAATAAATATATAGGCGGTGGAGGAATGATTACATATGCTTCATATAATCGTTTTACTGATCCAGTTGTAAGAATTTGTTAAAAATTTTAATACTATAAAAAAATTACATTTAACTATCACTTAATAGGTCAGACATTCACTATTAGTTGGAATCGGAGATTTTTTAACATCAATTTTTTGTGGATCTGTTGTATTTGCAATGGTTGGATATATGGCTCATACTTTAAACAAACCAATTGACGAGATTGTTCAGAGTGGAACTGGTACTATAG